GGGGGATCCGGGCATCCAGACGGCTTTTCCAGAGACTTCTATGGGATGTGGTGCTATCTCCCATTGGCTTCTTTGAGCGGACCCCCTTCGGGAACCTGCTGAATCACTTCTCCAAGGAGACAGACATCGTTGATGTGGACATCCCTGACAAAGTCCGGTCGTTGCTGATTTATGTCTTCGGACTCCTGGAGGTCATTCTGGCGGTGACGGTGGTCACCCCGCTGGCTGCTGTGGTCATCCTGCCAGTGCTGGTTCTCTATGCTGGGTTTCAGGTAGGAGAGATTGAGCAGGTTCCCGGGGCCAGCCCACGGCACCTCGGCCAGTCCCCTGTCTCTGGGCAGGATTCGTTGTAGGAGCTTCTGCCCAGTGGGCATCTGGGGAGAATCCCTAGAAGAATTCCCAGAGGCAGAGACACCACAATTTGTTTCCAACATCCTATACTCATCTCTGTCTCCCAGATGTCCACATCAAAGTTCTTAGTAGCTAACGTCGCGTCCTGCTACTACTGAAATCCGCTTCATCTTTCCCAATGATCTAGAAACCAAGAAGGCATTGCAAGATCTCAAAGAATGTGGTATTAGGTTTGACTCTTCCTGTTGCCCGAGCAATTGTTTCATTAGCTTTAAACGAAAGGACGGGATCTAATGGCTTACATTCCTGAAGTGCAGTGGGCCAGTGGTCGCCAGGACGCTGTCCCTCTCTCCGGATCTTCGTTCCATGGGTCTCCAAGTGTGGCCTCAGACCAACAGCGTCAGTACCAGCTGGGAGCTAGTTAGAAACGCATGTTCTCGGGCCCCACCCAAGACCTACCGACGCAGACACTGTGAAAATGGAGCGCAGAAATCTGGGTTTTCACAGATCCTCCAGGTCCTTCTGATGCATGCTAATGTTTGAGAACCACTGGCTTTAGCTCTGCTTGGCCTGAGGTTGCACACACTCTCTTTCCGGGGGCAGGCCCGGTGGCCCCTGGCCACCCTAGGCTCACAGCCCCAACACAAAGTCACCTGCTCTCCAGCTCAGCATGCATAGGTCAGTCCCAGGAAAGATTAGACTTGCCGGATGGGGGGGTAGGGACGTGTGTTTATCCCAGGGCTCATCACAGCCACCCAAGGGATGGCATATACTCCAATCGGCTAGGCTGTGCCGTGCCAGCCCTCCGTGACTGGGTCCCACGGTTGAACTCCACCCCCCCCAAGCCCTGCCCCAGGAAATCAGAAATAGAGCAGAAAAAACCCACAACCACCACTGTCTTCTCTCTGTCCTCTTGACTTGAGGAGGGGCAGCTTTGGGGGCAGGCAGAGGTGGGTCTGAATCCAGGCCCTGCCACTTGCTTGCCGTAGAGACCCGAAGCAGCTGCTTTGTCCGTCCGGGCCTTGGGTGTTCTCATCTGTAAACTGTGAAGCCCACTAACGCCCACCTTGCATTCATAAATGGTATTTGTAAAGGGCCTAGCACACAGCCTGGGTGTTCAGCAAATGCCAGTCCTCCCTGCCTGCACACAAATGGCAACTCAAACCAAATAACGCTGCATATTATTTGTGCATTGTTACGTTGCCAGCACCTGGCATGGAAGCTCCAGTTAAGGGAATGAGTTCCACTTGGCCAACTGCCTTCCGTGTCCTTTATGGTTTTGTTCCCACAGTGACTGGGCCCTAAGGGAAGCCCTCAGAGCTGGGAATGAGACATTCACACCAGAGGAGTGATTTCTCAATCCTGGCTGTGCATGAGAATCACCCAGAGGGTTTTTTAAAAACATACTGGGGCCAAGGTGACCCCGCCAGAGATTCCGATTTACTCGTCCTGGGCTGGGTCACGGGAGGGTTTTAGAGCTTCCCAGGTGATCTTAAAAAGAACCACGTAACTCTGATCCTGCAAGGAAATGGGAGCCCAGAGAGGGGAAGCAACTAGCCCAAGGTCACAGAGCAAGCTGGTAGCAGAGCCTGGTTGGAAAGTCTGTCCTTGGGGCTCCCTGTGCTTCTCACACTCCCCATCGGTGTCTGTGACTTCTCCCCTCCGCACCTGTCCCACTGTAGAGCCTGTACGTGGCCAGCCTATGCCAGCTCAGACGCCTTGAGTCAGCCAGACACTCGCGTGTGTGTTCCCATGTGGCTGAGACCTTCCAGGGCAACGCAGTGGTCAGAGCCTTCCAGGCCCAGTGCCCCTTCGTGGCTCAGAATGACACAAACGTGGACGAAAGCCAGAGAGTCAGTTTCCCACGGCTGGTGGCTGAGAGGTAGGACGAGCCTGGGGGCAGAGAAGACACTGTACTCCATCTCTGTCCCCATAGAGTGAACCGAGGGTCATACTGTGTGGCCAGAGAGATCAAGCGGCCTGCCCAAGGTCACACAGCAAGGCAGGGATAAAACCGAGGCTGCATACCATGGGTGCACTCAGCTCGCGCCGTGAGCAGATGGAACGTGGCCTGCCGAGTCCCCAGCAGCAGGTGGGCGGGAGGTAGAGATGCCAGCAAAAGGGAAGAAGCCTCTGTGCTCAGGCCACTGGACTCTTGCCTTGCTGAGAGAGCAGCTCTACAAGCCTCCTCAGCCTCCTTTCGGGAATGCAGGCTTTGAGCACAGACAGCCTGGGCTCCAGTCCCAGCTCTGCAACTTCCTCGCTGGGCGATCTTGGGCAAGTTACATACATCTCTGAGCCTCATTTGTCAAAGTGGGATGGCTTTCATGGGGTGGCTATCAGGATTCAGTAAATACACTCAGCTAATACTTGTAACAAGCTTACTACATGCCCAACACGGTTCTGGGCACTCTACATGGATTTATTCCCTTAGTCCTATTAACAACTCACGAGGCAGAGACCATTCCAGAGATGGTGAATCTCAGGCACAGAGAGATTTAGGAACTTGCCCCGGGCCGCGCAGCAAATACGTGGTGGACTCAGGCTTTGAACCCAGGTGCCATGGTGTGGAGAGGGCCAAGCACACAGTAGGCACTCAGTAAATGCGAATTCCTTCCTCCTTTGTGCCCCAGGTCCCTGGCCAGCTGATTGGCTGTGGGCAATGTCTCACCCCCACATGCCTTCTGGGTGACCTGGCCTGCCTCTTCCTGGGGCCCCAGCCTAGGGAGGAAAGAACTTATGAACATTTAGAAAGCGCCTACTATGTGGAAGGCCCCCTGATTTCCGTGCTATGTATAGCACATCTCATTTAATCCTCTCAACTGTAAGGAGCCAGACGTTACCTCATTGCACAGATGAGTAAACTGGAGTTTAAAGAAACAAAGGGACTGTCTCAAGGTCAGCCGTCTAGGAAGTGGCTTATTTACTCACTTGTTGGCTGCTTCATTGGAAATTCATGACCTGTTGAAAAGGTTCATGCTTTCTGGTATCAGTCAGGGCGATGTGGCTTCCAAGACTTGTTAATGTGTATACCTAACTCTTCTGAGCCTTAGTGTCCTCACCTGTCAAATGGGGACAACCCCACTCTGGGGGGTTGTTTGGAGAACAAAATATTATATATAGTAAAGCCCAGAGCTCCCTGAAGACAGGGATTCTAAAACTGGATCACGCTGTGTCTTCAGTGCCTCTGGCATGCACGGCATACAGTAGATGCTTAATACATGTTTGTTGAATGAATGAATGGTAGAGTAGGAATCCAGTTGGAGGGGTTGCATATTTATTCATGCACTCAATATATTCGCCATTGAGCATCTACTATGTGCTGGGTCCCGTGCTAGGTACTGGGGACAGAGTCATGAACGAGACAAAGCCAATGCCCACGCTGAGCTCACAACCTGCCGATGGAGACTGATGGTCAAGGGCTGAGTAAATAGTTTTATTATAAAGAATGGTAACTGTTATGAAGTTATCAGTTACATGTGAGAGAGAAAGGAGGGAGCAGTCCAGGAGGGCTCTTAGAGGAGGCGACGTTCGAGCCGACTTGGGCAAGAAGATAAGATGGAGGTTGGGTTCAGGCAGGGGGAAGCACAAGGGATATGGCCAGGCATATCCCAGGGACAGAAAACTGGCACCTACTGTGTGCCAGGCTCTGAGCTGGGCACAGGTGAGACAGGAAATCATCAACCTCCCCCACCCACTAAGCTTGGGTGGGGTCTGGAGTGTGGAGGGACCACTGCTGGGACCCCTGTGGGACTCAAGCTGGCACGATGACCGGACCCTGAGCCCAGAGAAGCAAGTCCTGCAGACAGGGCCCCCCGCTGACAGGGCTCTTACCTGCCTCCCCTCTCAGGTGGCTGGCTGCCAACATAGAGCTGCTGGGAAACGTGCTGGTGTTGGCGGCCTCCGTGTGTGCCGTGCTGAGGAAGGCCCACCTTAGCGCCAGCCTCGTGGGCTTCTCGGTGTCTGCCACCCTCCAGGTACTCCCAACACCCAAAACAGACCCCTGCCAGGGGGACCTTCCAGGAGCGAGTCCAAACTACCAACCCGTGAGGAAAATACAGCTCTACAGAAGCTTAGCTGGGGGGACCTTCCTGGACCTTGGGCCAGAGTCTTCCCTCACAAAGCCTCAGTGTGTGCATCTGAAAAATGGGGCAGTCATCTCTTCATCTCACACATTGTAAAGACTAGTTGAGATAAGGTATATAGGGATAAGCTATATAGAGAGTGCCTTGCTAAATTTTATTAACTATTAATAACAATATCTAATGTCAGATCATATGTATGAGGGAAAAAAATATATACCTAAGTAGCATTCTTTATGAATGAAGCATTGTTCTCACAGCTTTACAAATATTAACTCATTTAACTCTGCCCACAACCCCATCAGGGATCCTCTCATTATCCTCATTTTACAATGAGGCAAAATGATGGGAAAATCCGGGGATAGAAACCTCTCAGAACGGAAGTCAGTGGGCCTGGGTCCTGCTGTGTGTCCTTGGGAGGGCCACGCACCCTCTCTGGTCCTATCTCCCCACCTGTATCAAGATGGGTTGGACAGGCTCCTTTCTACTCTGCATGGAAGGCATTGGGGGGGAGGGGGTGTCCTGGTGGCTGCAGTCAAATCCCATCCCCTTGTCTGTCCCAGGACCTGGGTGATTGTCTGCAGGGGGGCTGAGGCAAGCCTGCGGGGTGGCCTTGCAGAAGCTGGCCTGACATGCCTTCTCGTGCCTTCTCCCACCAGATGACGCAGACGCTACAGTGGGCTGTTCGCAGCTGGACGGACCTGGAGAGTAGCATCATGTCAGTGGAGCGGATGAAAGACTATGACCAGACGCCCAAGGAGGTGACGGGGGTGGGGGGGTGCGGGAGGTGGGGGGGCTGGGGGGGTGGGGGGTGAGCCCGGCTCTAGATCTGCTCCAGGCGTGCAGGCCCCGAGCCCCGCGGGCTGCACCTGCAGTCAGGGCCAACATAGCAGTACCAGTTCAGAGCAGAGTGTGTGGAACCAGGACAAATCCTGGTTCCTGGGCTTCTTCACTTGGGCAGAGCAGGTCCTGCTTCTGAGTGGGGGGGGGGGGACCATGAGTGACAGTGGCAGGACACGTGCATGCTAGCAACACGACAGAGGCGTCCCAGCGAGATCACAGCCACGCGGCAAGCCTGCAGTGTAGGCGTTGGGGGTGGGGGGGGCGTGAGACCCCGCAGGGAAGGACGGCGGGGCAGGCCCACCGGAGGCACTCCATTTGCGCCCACTGCTCTTACTGGCCCCCTGATACCTCCAGGGCGTGGAGGGCATGTTCAAGGTCCCGGGAAGAGCCAGCGGCAGCTAATGCCCCCTACGGCGCAGTCTCGTCCTGCTTGCAAAGGTGAAGGGGCATGTCTACCCCTTCTAGAGGAAGAGAGACTATTATTTGACAATTAATAATGGCTAATAATAATGGGACGCCTGGGTGGCTCAGTCGGTGGAGCGTCTGCCTTCGGCTCAGGTCATGATCCCGGGGTCCTGGGGTCGAGTCCCGCATTGGGCTCCCTGCTCTGCTGGGAGCCTGCTTCTCCCTCTGCCTCTGCCTCTCTCTCTCTCTATCTCTCATGAATAAATAAATAAAATCTTAAAAAAATAATAATAATAATGGCTAATAATAATAATAATAAAAGAGTAGCCAATACCAGCATTATTTTTATAATCCCAGATATTATTTGTTTTTCGCTCTGCTGTGTTCCATGCCCCCTACCACCCTGTAAAAAAGCAGTAAATATGCCCATCTTGCAGAAGAGGAAACTGAACCTCAAAGAGGTGGGCCATTTCGTGAGACACCTCGGAGAGATGCTCCTCTGACCCCGTGTCCCCTCCTGCCCCAGGCGCCCTGGAGGCTGCCCACCTGTGCCGCCCGGTCCCCCTGGCCTCACGGGGGGCAGATCGAGTTCCGGAACTTTGGGCTGAGATACCAACCTGAGCTCCCACTGGCCGTCCGGGGTGTGTCCTTCAAGATCCACGCCGGAGAGAAGGTGAGCGGCTCTTCCATGTCTTCCTCCTCATGGAGGCCAGGCGCAGGGTGAGCAATGCCTCCTCCACACCCCACTTCAGCTCCCCTCGTCTGCAGACCCACCACACCCTAACCGAACCTACAGTCTTCCCCAAACCTGCCGCCATCTTGGTGAGATGCACCGCCCACCCACCTTGGTGTCCCAGACGAGGAGGCATCTCCCCGACTCCCTTCTTTCTTTTTGCCTCTGATATTAGTTGAATACCTACTATGTGCCGGGGCAGAGGGCGGAATGCTCCACGTACCTTATCCCGTTGGCCTGGGCTCAGTTCCTGGCTTTGCCATGGCTGACCTTGGGCAAGTCACTTCAGGTCTTGATCCCAGTTTTTCCATCTGTAAAATTGGAAATCATAGTGTCACTCTCCTAGAGCTGTTGTGAAGCTTAACTGAATTAATACATGGGGACACTGTCTGGAACAGGGCCTGGCACATCGCCAGGGCTGCAGAAATGTTTACCAGTGCTTTTATTCATTATCATTTGCAGTTTTACTCTGACAACAACCCTAGGTGGAAGCGCTAGGATTATCCCATTTTACAGATGTTTAGCCCATGGACTCCCCACCCAGGCACACTTCCTTCCTGCCTTTCCCCGGACGGCTCCAGGCCCCTAACTGAGCCCCCAGTTTCCCGTTTCATCACCTCCAGCCTGTTTTCCTATGATCTTTATCCCGGCATGTTGTTCCTCTGCTTGGGACCTTCCATCTGCTCCCAGCTTCCCTTAGAAGAAAGCCCAAACTCCTGAGCTTGGCATTAAAGGCTATGCCCAAGTCTCCGTGTATTGCCCTGTTGGGGCTTAGCCAACACGGTGGAGTAGCCGCCTCACTGGGCCAGGTGGGCACCCAGTGCTGCCCTCGGGGAGTTTACAGTCTAGCACTTAGTGTGGTTGACTTGGAATCTTCCCCCTCCCCAAACTCTTACTCATCCTTCAAGATGCCACTCAAGAATCCCCTCCACCATGAAGCCTTCTCTGATTACCCCATTAACTACCCCCATCCCAGGCAGCTTCAGGTCCAGAGTTTGATTATAGAGGGGGCTTGTTCATCCCACTGTATTCAAATGAAGTATGCTCAGTTGCACTATTTCCCATACCACCCAGGGAGCTCTTTGGAGCAAGGACTCCTTCATTTCTGTATTCCTGGTGGCTAGAACAGTGCCTGTCCTACAATGGGTGACACGTGTCATTCACTTCTTAAACAAATCGTGCCGGACCTCCACGAGTGTCAGACATTGAGAATGCAACAGTAAATGCTGACGGAGGATGGGGGGGCAGCGGGGGCAGAAGGTAATGATGTCCAGAAAGAAGGTTGGATAGAATGGGATGAGTATATGGAAAGGTAATCAGATGAAAGGACAGAGGGACAGATGGAAGGACGATCCATCAAAGGATGATGGATAGACGGATGGATCTTGGGTGCAGGGGAAAGACCTCGTAGAGATGCCCAGGGACCCTCCGGCCCATGGCCTGCCTTCGTCTGGTCGGGCCTGGTCAGAACGAGCCTCGCCTCCCATCCCCTGACAGGTGGGCATCGTTGGCAGGACGGGGGCCGGGAAGTCCTCCCTGGCCGGGGGCCTCCTGCGGCTCCTGGAGGCGGCCGAGGGGGGGATTTGGATCGACGGGGTCCCCATCGCCCACGTGGGGCTGCACACGCTGCGGTCCAGGATCACCATCATCCCCCAGGTGAGGTCTGGGGGGAACGGGGTGGGCAGAGGTGAGAGGCACGGCCAGGCCCGGCTCTGACCCTCTGCCCCCTTCTGGCCAGGACTCGGCGCTGTTCCCCGGCTCTCTGCGGATGAACCTGGACATACTGAATGAGCACACGGATGAGGCCATCTGGGAAGCCTTGGAGACCGTGCAGCTCAGAGCCGTGGTGGCCAGCCTGCCGGGCCAGCTGCAGTATGAGTGGGCCGAGCAAGGTCACAGCCTGAGGTAGGCTTGCCCCCCCCAACCCCGACTGGGGTCAGCCCGGGGCTAATGTGCCCTGGAAGTCAGCCCCATTCAGTCAGTACTCAGTTTGAACCTGTCGCTTATCAGCAATCCCAAACACCAACACAGGCTCTGAGTAGCCAGGTTCTTTTTCCTACATTCAGTCCCTAAATGTATCTGGGCGACAAAACCCAACCTGTAATTACCCACACAAGGCTACTTACGGTCTCTCTTTATCCCACTCAGCATTTATTTTGCTGCAAAAGTATGGTCTTTGATATTGGTGCTTAACCACACGCTCACTGGGGTATTGAGTAACATATGGTGTATGTTTTTTTTGTTTTGTTTTGTTTTGTTTTGAGACAGAGAGAGCATGCGCATGTGAGTGAGGCTGGGAGGGACAGAGGGAGAAGGAGAGAGAAAATCTCAAGCAGGCTCCACGCCCAGCGCAGAGCCCAAGGCAGGGCTCGATCTCATGACCCTGAGATCATGACCTGGGCCCAAATCAAGAGTCAGACGCCTAACCGACTGAGCCTCCCAGGTGCTCCTGGCCTATGCCTTTTTAAAGAAATTTTAATTGTGGTAAAATACACATAAAATTGAGCATCTTTACCATGTTTTAATGTACGACTGATAATGTTGAGTACATCCCCACCACTGTGTAACCCATCTCCAGGACTTTGTCATCTTGCAAAACTGAAACCCTATACCCATTAAAGAAGCAGTTCCCTATTTTCCCCAGCCTGCAGCCCCCGGCAGCCGCCATTCTGCTGTTTCTAGGAATTTGGCGACTCTGGGTCTCTCATTTAAATGGCTGGCTTATTTCACTCAGCACAATGTTCTCCACGTTGTAGCAGGTGTCAGAACTTCCTTTTTGAGACTGAATGATACTCCATTGTATAGATAGACCACATCTTTTTTATCCATTCATTCATTGATGGATACTTGGGTTGCTTCCACCTTTTGGCTACTGTGAATAATGCTGCCAGGTGTATGGTGTGTGCTTTTTTTCAAAACCAAGACATTCTGGGGGTGGCTGGGTGGCTCAGTCGGTTAAGCATGGCAGGAAAGAGCCCCAGACACCCTTGGGTCTTGAGGGTAAGGGGTCTCACAGACCGTGTGAACTCGAGCCTCAACTTCCCTGTCTGTAATTAGAGTAGGAGAAGCCTCCGGTGCTGAGGGCTTTCTCCGTGGCAAGCAGACCGCTGAGCACTTTATGGGACTTATATTGTCCTCGCACCCTCAGTAGTCACAAGACTCAATACAGTAACCACCTTGGTGGTCACTGTGAGAAGTGACCCAGCATATGCACACGCACACCCTCATGTGTCCGGCACAAGGTGAAAACCCCAGAATGGAAACAGAAATAGCCGTTTCACTGCTGGGGAAACTGAGGCACCGGGGTTTGAATGTCTTGCCTCGAGTCACCCTGCTCAAAAATGGCAGGATGGGGATTCCTACCAGCTCGTGGACCAGGGACCGACCCACATGTAGACGTGCATGTGCACACACACATCCCCAACTTCTGAAGCTGTTGGGGGAAACCCCATCTGTGGGCAGACCCTGCCCATCCTGACGTGCAGGCACACCAGTGTCTGGCCTGACCCTCCCACTCATTCCCAGTGTGGGCCAGAAGCAGCTGCTGTGTCTGGCGAGGGCCCTTCTCCGGAAAACCCGGATCCTCATCCTGGATGAGGCCACGGCCGCCGTGGACCCAGGCACGGAGCTCCAGATGCAGGCCGCCCTCGGCAGCTGGTTCGCCCGGTGCACGGTGCTGCTCATCGCCCACCGCCTGTGCTCTGTGATGGACTGCGCCAGGTACGCACCCCTCTCCCGGCTGGCCCTCGGAGGCTCCCCCGGCCCCCGCCACCCCTGCAGTGGCAGAGGAAGCGGCAGGGTTTAGAGACGGAGGGGCGCTGGAATGGATTAGCGAGTGCCCACTCTACGGGAGGCAGAACTGATGCCCCGAGGGGAAGGGAGGGGCCAAGGACTCATGCCCAGCTGATGCTTCCGCCCTGCTTGTCAGGGTCAGGAAACTGCAGGGAAGGCCAGACTCTTCTGGAACAGACACGCAGGGCTTTCGGCGGCAGAGCGCCCGGGCCGACTGGGCTGGTAAGAGCTGCTCGTTTCCCTCTACCCTGCAGGGTGCTCGTCATGGACAAGGGGCAGATGGCAGAGAGTGGCAGCCCAGCCCAGCTGCTGGCCCAGAAGGGCCTGTTTTACAGGCTGGCGCAGGAATCGGGCCTGGTCTGAGCCCTCAACTCTCGCCTTGTCGTACCAGCCCAGAGAGACTGCTGTGCCCTGGGGGTGCCAGGGACCCAGGGGTCATCGGTTGGCACCGCTCTCTGGGAGGAAAATGGCAGAGGAAGTGGCCAACCGTCACAGACCTGGGAGGACACAGCAATGCCCAGGTCGGTCTGATCAGGGCTCATCCAGCCTCGTCCACCCCGGAGCTGAAGTTGCTGGTGGCTCTCCGCGCTGGCTGCCCAGGGGCCTCACCCGAGGGGCTCAAAAACCCACCCATGCCCGGGCTCCACCACAGACCCTGAAAATCAACATCCCCGGGGCTGGGGCTGGGGCTGGGGCTGGCGGGGGAGGGGTGGAGCATGTACCTTTTACAAATTACCCTCTTTATTTTGAGATGGTTGTAGATGGACAAGCAATTATAAGAAATATTCCAGAAAGTTCCCGGGTAGCCTTACTCTGTTTCCCCCAATAACAACATCCTGAAAAACAGTAGTACAGTATCATAACCAGAATAGTGATATCGGTACCATTGGCCGATGCTGTTCGGATTTCCCCACTTTTACTTGGATTTGTGCATGTGCACGCACACATGTGTCTCTGGACAAGCTTCTGCACCTGCCACCACCAGTCAGGATGCCGAGCACGGCCAGTACCACCAGGACACCTCCGGTCACCATGTTGTGACCGTACCCACCTTCCTCCCGCCCGCAACCAGGCGCTGATGCGCTCTCCATTCTGGTAAGTATTTTTAAAGCTCCTCATAGGATTCCAGGGAATTCCACACCTCCTGCTGCTGCCCCTCCACCCTCGTAGGTGAGCCCCAAGGAGCGTCTTGTCTGAACCGACACACAAGCCGACTCCCCAGCCCCCCCACCAAGAACAGGCCGGCCCCCCACACCAGCACCTTCAGTGCCAAAAACAAGATTTGCGGAGCCAGGGACTCCCGGGCCCCCCACGGAAGAATTTGCTCAGGGCACACATTGCACGTGTGTGAAAGACCAAATTCTAGCTCCTGGGGGTGGGCGGCTGGGGGGTGGGGGGGGAGGCCCACCAGCAGGTGCATCAGCCGGGAGTGTCCTCCGGAGACTGTTGGAAGCCCCAGGTCCGCGGCAGAGATGGGCCGGGTCTTGCCCACCGTCCAGGGGAGGCACCAGCACGGCATGCCATGGGGCTCAGCCCATCTCCCTCCGCAGTCGCAAAGCTGATACAGCGCGGCTGAAGCCGGCTGCAGGCGTGGGCCAAGAGGGACCAGAGTCTAAAATAGCCAAGCCTGAGGTCACACAGACATGCAGCATGAGAACAAGTCCACGCCTTGGATGAGAACTTTCTGGCAGCCCAGGGTTCTGCCGTGACCTCATGGCATCGCTGCAGGGATAAAGTTAATACGTGCAAGCGTCTGAGCTGAGCTAGGCACAAATACGTGCTCAATCAACTTTCATTATTAGTGTCAATACTGTTCTGCTTGAGGAGCTCCTCGGGTCCTCCGTGGGGCAGAGAGTATACACGCCAGAGTTTTTTTTAACTGCATCGCTACTGACGTGGGGTTGATGATTCTGGGTCATGCACCGTGGGATGCTCGGCAGCATCCCTGGCCTCTCACTAGATGCCAATCACAATGCCACCTATTGTGACAAGATGTCTCCAGACGCTGCCAAGTGTCCCCTGGGGGATCAGTCACCCAGTTGAGAGGGACTGGGCTAAGCCAACCCACCGATCACCCAGATACACGGACAGTGGCCGTGTTGGTGTATCAGGAAGGGCCTGAGGACACCCACCCACCCTGTCCTAGCCATGTCACAGGGATCTTACGCTGTTCCATCCAGTGGAGGGTTTTCAGCCCAGAGAAAACTAAATCTAGATCTAATTGCAGCTTCTACATCCCTCTGCCAAGGTGTGGCCAAAAGCTCATTTGGATGCCTTCCAAGTGGGGTCAGAGGGCTGCATCCCTTGCCGGCCCCCAGTCCTGTCTCTGAAGGGCCGGCCCCACCATTACTAGCACCTACCAACTCCGTTTTGGAAAGGTGGAAAATGAGGCCCAGAGAGCTCACATGACCTTGGCATGCCAAGGTCACCGGGCTTGTAAGTGGCGGAGCGGGCCGGTGAGGGTGAGGGGGATCTGTCCCGGGTCTATTTAACACCACAGCCCAAGGCATCGCGTGGGGGATCCTGCCCAACTTGGAAGGACAGGAAGGGACCAGGCGCAGCACTTTGCACTTTGCTTGGAGCGGGGCCCCTGACATCCGGGCACACGGACCGCAGGCAAAAGTGGTAGCCGCTGTTTGGCAAACGCACTCAGGGTCCTTCGAGGCTTTTTCACGGACAGAGGAGCGGGTGCTATGGAAGCCAGCACTAATGAGGGTGCCAGGGGCGGCGCACCACGGCTCCCCAGAGACCGTGCCGAAGGCCCGCTGGGAGACAGCTACAGGGAAAGTCACGTACAGACCTGTGGTCAGTGCCTGCCTCGGTCGGTTCTTCATCCTCCCGTGTCCCCTCGCGTCACTGCCGACGCTCACCAAGCTCACCAAGCTCACCAAGCCCTGCCCCGATGCCCGCCACAGCCTTTCAGTGAATCCTTACAATGGGGGGAGGAAGGGAGCAGGGTTATCACCTTACTAGGATGCTTTCCTGAGGCCCCTTTCACGGAGAAAATGCAGGGATCTGAACCCGGGTGGCCTGGCGCCAGAGCCCACGACCTAACCACTGACCTGCCTCGTGCACACTCCTTTAGCTCTAGAACATCAGCTCGCTGACAGCTGAATTCCACTCTGGCAGCAACACCCTCCCCCACCCCCCCCCACCAGAAGGGAAGGAATGGGCTCCTTTCCTTCTTGACACAAGGGATTTGTTCACATGCGTTCACGGTGTCTCCCAGCATCCGGCACGGTGCACAGCACGTGGGAGTGTTCAATAAGTGACGATTGCATGGATGGACGGACGGCTGGATGGATATCAGGATGGCTGGATAGACGGACAAATGAATGAATGAAAGCCATCACCACGTAGGACGGTGTCCAGAGGGCCAGATGTGGCGCTGGGTGCTTTACCTGCATCGGCTTCCATCCTCACACCCACCTGGCCAGATGGACACAATGATCCCAGCTGTACCAATGAAGAAACCACAGCTCCTGAAAGGCAGGTTCTAGAGGCCCCAATGACGTCACACTTGGCCCAGGGCCCGGCACGGCGAGCTCAGTGTTGGATCAGAGAAGGCAGTCACCGGGGGCGAGCTATGGGCCCGGGGTGGGCATTCATTACGGAGTAAGGCGATCAGAGCCTTGCTCTTGCGGAGCCGCTACTGTGAAAGAAACAGGACAGCGACCAGCCACGCTGACATCTGGGGCAGAGGGAAGACCCGGAGGCGGGACAGTGCCCAGCATGCTGGAAGGACAGCAGAGGGGCTTTGTGGCTGGAGGGCCCTGCGAGATGGCCAGAGGGGAGCTGGGGGCCCCCAGAGGTTACGGGAAGCCGGGGTGTGCAGGGAAGCTGGCTGCCGCCAGACACGGGGACCACTGGAGGGTTCTGATGGAGGGTTTTTAAAGGCACACGATGCTGCTGGGTGGAGAACAGACTGTACTAGGGGGAAGTGGGGTGGCCAGGGCAGCAGGGAGATCGCTGAGGTGGTAGTCACAGGGGCACGAGACAGGGACCCGCGTGGCAGCAACTGGAGGGCAGAGAAGTGGTCAGATTGTGAGTACTTTGCTGGAATGTGCTGTGGGACCCACGCAGGAAGCATCACGCCTGTTCCCCGCTCCGCTCTGGCCTGGGGGTCCGTTCCCACAGGAGTGAGGCTAAGCACCGAGCCCAGGGCCGGGCACCCGGGAGGGGGCCCCCCTTGCTCCTTCCACGGCATCGAAGCGCTTACCCCTGCCCCAGCCTCGGGGCTTCGGACCCCACCCTCTCCGGGGTTAAGGCTGCACACGGTCTCCTCTTCAGGAAGCAGCATGAGCTTGAACCCAGGCCCACGACCCTCCTGAGCACCGGCTGTCCCATGGCGCATGCCCACGAGGCACACACCAGGTCGCACACTTGGGACACCTGGTTAGGATCTGACCTGGGACCTCACCCCTAAAACTGACCCCCCACATGGCATATCCAAATACTTCCCTTCTAATGGGAACAAGCTGACCGGCCTCTCTCTACTGAGCACGACCACGCTCCGGGCGACACGGCAGGATGCCCGCTCTGCGCGGCTACTCGGGGCCTGCTTTCAGGGCGCAGCACGGATGGTTTGCTCCCCAAACACGGCAACTCTTCATGAGCAAGACTCACGCAGTGCAAACTCAGAAACCCAACACGCCAGCCTCACTTCCCCGCTAGCCACGACTCCAGAGACCACGGGAACGACCACTAGGGGAGGTACTACTCTTCCTTCCTCCCCCTGCCATCTCCCAGCTTCCTTTGCGGTGGGGCTGGGGCCACGTGACTGACTCTGGCCACTGGGCTGAGTGGAACGGATTTGTGTCGCTTCCGGTTTGGGGCACTTAAGAACGGGGGTGCGTCATCCTGGTGCCCGCTTTCCCCTCCCCTGCGGTGCCGGTCTCCGCAAGCCAGCCCTTGGGAGGTGTGATGCTGTAAGACCACAACAGCCTGGGTCTCTCCGTTGCTGCAGGGAAGACAGGGACCCTAGAGAGGATCTGACGCTCATCAAAAAATGCCTGAGTCAGAAATACACCCAGGTGTTCGTTTCCTAAGCGTTACGGCTGATTTGCTACCACAGCACAGCCTGGCCGACCTAACACAGTTTCTCAGCTAACTTTGGCCACATGGGACTTTTGCCTGGCTTGTGTCTTAGACGACCAAGGTCGTGCGTGCCACAAACCATCACTGCTCATCAGCACAACAATCCCGCGGGGCAGGTCAGCCCCGTTTTATAGACGAGGCAGCTGCAGCAGAGACGTCCAGTGACTCATTGCAGGGTCATCCGGTCAGCAAACCGCAAGGGCAGGGCTCAAGCCCAGGCTCTGTCCACCGTGCCATGCCGACTCCCCACTGAACCCCACTGGAGTCTTCACCTCTCAGGTCCCGTTCCTGGACAAGAGCTCCCACTGGAGACAACGGGTTTGCCAAAGACAAAGAACAGAAGCAGGCAAGAGCGTAACCCCATCCTGACTTCTGAAGGACGTGGCAGAACCCGCAGCTAACGCCCCAAAGAAAACAACAATTGTTGAGTAAGAAACAAAATATTTTTTTTTTACTGTAAATTATTTGCAAATGTTCACGTTTCCAGTGTAAGTCTTTAGAAAAAGATCCCCAAGAAAAACTTGGTTTATCTAATGTGAAAGAATGGTATAACTTACAAAAAAATAAATATGTATTTCCACCTAAAAGAAAAAAGATGCTTCTCTGGATGTGAAGTCAGCAATGCAATTCATAGCGAGTATGAATCCTGGAGCAGCAGTGACCTTCCTCTGCGTTTTGGGTCTCGCTTTGGTCTCCGAGAAACCGAGAAGGACTCTGCTTCTCCATTTTCCTCCAGGAACACGTGGACCACCTGTCACCTGCCGGCCGACGTGGCTGGGAATCCCTGGGAATGCCGCTCCTCAACCAACACCTCCTCCCAAGAAATTAAACTCTTGAGACCGTTTTTCCCCCCTGGAGCAGCACTTAAAGCCAAAAAAACAAAACAAAATAAAACTAAACAAAAAAAGAAAAAGCCATCACTGATATCTGTGAATGGGTCCTTTTCTTGTCCTGGAAGAGACTCGGTCATGAAATGTCGAGTTCTCCACACTGCCATCCTTCAAGCCACCCAGATGCCAAGGGCGAGGAAAAAAAATCTAACCACACAGAGGAGACTCAACGGGGCCCTTTTCAGTCCCAACCGGCCGCACCTGGGAGGTACCTAGCACTCTTGGCCTTGACCGCTTCATCACCATCGACAGATCTTCTCTCTCAGGGACTAGGGCAGTAAAGCCATCCTAGCGATGGGTAGAAAGAGGGAGCGAGGAAAGCAAGAAGACTGGAGTGGATGAGGAGCGGAGCGGCCGGGCTGGGGAGTTGGTACTGAGATGATCTCCAGGTCCAGACAGCCTGGAAGTCCCGCCGAGTCCCGTCGGTGAGAAGTCCGGGGATGTGGAGGCTGCCCCTGGCCTGGGAGGCGAGTACCGGGAGAGCAGGGCTGGGACGTGGGTTCCCAGTGTCTGAGCGCCTGGAAGACCAGATGGTTGGTAAGAGGAGTGTCCGTGGCCCTCAGGGTACTGCCTGAGGGGAGAGTAATCTTCCCAGGCCCCTCACTCCCACCTGCAGCCCCAAGGAGACAAAGCACACTGGGGGATGCCGGGGGCCGGGGAGCTTCTCAAAGATGGAATCCGTTGACTTTGGCTGGAGAGATCTGAGGCAGTTGGCTGGATTTGGTCACTAGCATTATTTTATGAAACCACTTTCTCTGGCAGTCTGGCTGCCAAAACCTCCTCACGGAGCACCAAGAGCATGAGCGTGCGTTCCCGGGGGCCTGAGAATATATGTGCGTCTTGCAGGGGCCACGGAGGCAAGGGCGGGAGTGTTCTGGGTGGGCTGCATCTCTGTGTCTCTCCTGCTTCTTCACGGCCAATTCCAGTTCGGGGGCCAGACGGTGGCTGCTTTTGAGTTTTGGTTTTAGGGGTTGTTTTTTTTTTTCTCTTTTTTTTTTGGTTTCAGTATACAGGAGGCTTGGGTTCCCAAGGACGGTGCCTCAGTACGTCACCCCCGGACACTGGCGTGTCAGCCCTGCAATTCTGACCAGATGCACCAGCTCTGTGGCTCACACCAGGCCAGCATCTTTGGCCATGCTGTAGAAAAGACCTCTCTGCTGCAGGAGGTCAGAGGGCCGGCCGCACTCCCGGATCTCTCCCTTGTCCAGGACGATGACCCTGCAAGAGGAGGAGACACAGACGTGAGGCGAAGGGAAGGGGTCTGCATCTTGTGCCCCCAAAGAGCCACCCGAACAAATCCCTGCTTTGGGTCAGGCCCCTAACACCTTCTGTTAGGACTCCTGCAGTAGCCTTCCAACTGGCTGCCATCCTTGATCCCTTCCGGTCAAAGTCCTGGGATGCTTACCCCGGGAAGGGCTCTCACCTTTTCTACTTCGTTCCCAGCACCACGTGCTTTCGTGTGCTCATGTGCTTATTGTCTGTGTCCGCACCCAGCCCCTGACTGACCGCGAAGGTCCCTCAGGCAGGCTCCCTGGCTGATACCTCCTTGCTGAGGCCCTAGTGCCTAGAATAGGGCCGAGAATGTGGTGGGCACTCCACCCGTGTGTGCACTGAATACATGATGGAGGGCGTCAGAAATACCCAGGGGGAAGAGAGGGCTGTCCCTAGACACAGGATGGTGCCGAGATACAGGATGGTGCCGGCAGGGTCACCTCGTGTAGTCCATGATGGTGTTGAGCCGGTGTGCAATGGTGAGCACGGTGCAGTCCTCAAACTGCGTCCGGATGGTCGACTGGATGAGGTCGTCCGTTTCGAGGTCCACGGCCGCCGTGGCCTCATCCAACACGAGGATCTTGGTCTTCCGCAGCAGAGCCCGGGCCAGACACACAAGCTGGCGCTGCCCGACGCTGGACCAGGAGGAAAAGGCCAGGGGACAGAGGGTCAAAACCAGCCCCGACCCTGAGCCCCGGCCGGAGCTGGGAGAAGAGGGAGGGGGCACTAGGTGTTGCCACGACCAGGAGCGCCCCGCGCCCTGCGCCCGCACCCGACGTCAGCGGTGGCTCAGGACGTCCCAGCTGTGGAGCCGGAGCCGGGCTCAGCGGGGATATCCCAAATGTGTGGCCAGCTCAGCATGGGCCACGGGACAGGTAACAGATGGCCCCGTATCTGTGCCTTCTGGAGGGTCCTCCCACTTGACCCTGGACTCAACCACGTGTCTCGCTGTGGTCAACGGGATGCCGGCCGACGAGGCCACCGGAGGCTCGCAGACGGAACACGCACCCCCACCATCGCCATTGACAACACACATGGGCTGGTCGCTGCGGGATGAGGGCCGTGCGCAGCCGAGCCGACCTGCCCCGGGGACCCCCAGCCATAGAAGGGGGCCGAGAAGAGCACGGCCACCTGGCTGACCACCCCAAGGGTCTGAGCAGCCGAACACATCTGAGGATTGGTGGTTGGCTGTCACAGGGGTGGACGAGGCATGAAGGACACTGGAGCAGGGCTCGGGTTCCCTGCAACACCAGGCAGTCACACTGTAGTTGCCGGGTCATGGGGGGATCCTGGGGATCCTGGGACAAGGGCCAGGACAGCTGGGGCAGCGGGTGGTGACTCAAAGAACTCAGAAAAGTGCCATTTACTGACCAAGAGAGAAGCCTTTCAATAGTTGAGCAGTCCTGCTCAATTGACTAAACCCGGTGTAAGAAAAGAACCACATCGGCCATCCTGGTTTTATACCTCATGGTACAACGAGCCTGGACTGAAGCCCACTTTACAGATGCTGAAATCGAGGCTATAAGAAGTGAAGAGAAAATGGCTCATCCGTGGTAGAGCTGGGACTCAAACCCAGGCCTGACACAGATGCAGGAGGACAGACTCTTCAAACACCTCGACGGAGGTGAAGCCGAGGAGACCCGGTCAGGGCCTCACATCCCTGCTTACCTCAGGTTCTCCCCGCCTTCCGCACACTCGTGGTTTAGCTTGTCGGGAAGGGCAGACACGAAGTCCTTCAGGTGAGCCAGCTCCAGGGACGTCCAGACTTCCTCATCTGAGTACTGGCTGAATGGGTCCAGGTTCATGCGGAGGGTACCCGAGAACAAAACAGGGTCCTGTTCGAGAAAAGATGGCAGACGGCAGGTGAGGCTCACGTCATGATGCCTGCACCCGGGGCAAACAGGTGCGACGTGAACAGTTCTGGCCAGAATCGCTCAAGATGGTGTTCCAGAGTTCCTTGGAATCACTATTTCTGGAGATGTTAGTAATGGGGGGCAAAGGTTTGGAAAATCCTGGGTTAAGTGAAATAAAATAAGTTTCTTTTGGGAAAACTTCCCAGAGTCTCCAATACACGGAAACTTCCGGTGGGGAGAAGCAGCATGGGTAATTCCTAATCATAAAGTACTATGGATTCCTCCCTGTTCCCTGCCTCCAAAGGAGAATCTTAGAAAAAAATTTTAGGGAAAATAACACGACCAGGCAACACATGAGGGAATCACACCTACAGAAATCAGTCTAGAAAATTCCTATTTCTCGCCTGGCTCTTGAGAGGCTTATTCTTGTCCTGAGTGAAGCCAGCAGGAGTGAAGGAATGATACCCGGTTAATTCCCACTGTTACTTATATGCTAAGGGGAGATTCAGTGGCAAAGAAACAGTATCATTTCAATGAGAAGGATTAAAATAATAAAGTAGGAATACATTTATATTTGTCCTGAAAACATACCTACATCTCTCTCACTGCCCCCCACTCATGCCCTTGGTATACCCAGACCCCACCTGCGGGATGATGGTGATCTTAAAGCGCAGATCGTGCAGGCCGATCTTGGCAATGTTGATGTCGTCGATAACGATCTCCCCCTCAGCAGACTCGTTGATCCGAAATAAGCCCAGGGTCAGGGATGACTTCCCAGCTCCCGTCCGCCCCACAATGCCGACCTGTGGGACAGGAAGGGCCCAGGGTGAGGTGGGAATCCTAGCGTCTAGGGGTTGCCTCCCACCTGCCCCCACACAAGGCCCATGTTTCAGGTGTCTGCCCTAAAGCAATTCAGTCATCTGGTCGACCTGACGCCCACCACATTCCTCCCCGTCAGCAGCTTCCCAGGGACGCTCCTTCAGGGACTGTATGAAGGGTCAAGAAGGACTTCCTTCTCTGTGCCACCTCTTTTGATAAATTAAAATGATATTCAGCTCTTTTGATAAGTTAGTATAGACCTCCCAAAGAGACAGGGCTCAGGGAGAAGGGATTTTCAATAAAGCCCTATTATTTTCAACTCTAGATAATGTTAATAATCGGGTATTTTCCCCCATACTGTTTTTCAGTCCTTTGATGGTGAGTTTTCCATCCTGAGCTGTCGAAGTAGCTTAAAGATTCAAGCAGATCCCCCCTGCATACCTGCTCCCTCCAACCCAGCTGCAGGAGCAACGAGAGGTTATGGACAGGACCCAGTCTCCACTCATCCTCCCTTGAGGAAACGGGGCTCCCTGCTCCGTGGCCAATGACTGACATTCCTGACATCCAATTATAACTCTCCCCTTCTCGTCTGGGGTCTTGAAAGGCAGGCTTCCTCCAGCCTCTAACAGAATTGTCACACAGCAGAGTCTCATGATGGAACATAAGCCATGAAGCCTCAGTGAGAACACAATCCACTCTGTTCTTACCCTTGGTAGAAGTTAGAGAAATTATCTCATGGGAACGAAACATTCTGAGCCTTGGGGTAGGAACAGTTTAGCAAACACATATGTGTTTAGCAAACATGTATGTTCAGAGATGAAAGAGACTCTGTCCTCTGCCAGACAGCCAGGAAGACCCTTCGTCTGATTCCTGAGGGTCTAAGGGTCTCAACAGCAAAGACATCTTCCAGCAACAGCTTGGGACTAGGGATATATTCCAGAATTCTGACAACTTCACATATTCACTGAGCCGTCCCTAGTAGTGACAATGGCATCTTTCCATTCTAGAGGTGGCAAACTCGAATTCCTTCAGGGGCCAAGTAGGCACAAAAGTGAGATGGGAGGTGACTGGGTGAGCTTGGAGGCTCTCATCTTGTCTACAAAGAACCAGGCAGGGAGTATAAGCCCAGTGCTGCTAGATGTTTATCTTTCTTTCTTTTTTTTTTTTTTTTTAAGATTTTTATTTTTTTATTTGAGAGAGAGCACATGAGAGCGGGGAGGGTCAGAGAGAGAAGCAGACTCCCTGCCAAGCAGGGAGCCCGATGCGGGACTCGATCCAGGGACTCCAGGATCATGACCTGAGCTGAAGGCAGTCGGCCAACCGAGCCACCCAGGCGCCCCATAGATGTTTAATCTTTCAAGAAAAGCAGGAAGTTGGGGTGCCTAGGAGGCTCAGTCGGTTAGGTATCCAATCCTTAGTTTCGGTTCAGATCATGATCTCAGGGTCATGAGATTGAGCCCCCACACTGGGTGTGGAGCCTGCCTAGGAATCTCTCCCTCCCTCTGCCCTTCCTCCCACCACCGTTGCACATGCTCGCTCGCTCAAAAAAGACAAAAAAAAGGGGGCAGGAAATGGATTTTTATATAAGACATACCAGATTTTTCAGTATTTGCAACAGATTCAGATTTTTTTCAAAACATACCCGCGGGCCTCATCTGGCTCCCTGCTAACAGTATGCAATGTGGCTGGGACACTCTAGCAGCTTCTACTTCCACAAGCCCATCTCAGAAAAGGCCACTCTACCCCATGGAATCGGACTGTGATAAACTGGGGAAATGATGCGCCTGGTTGCACCTGCCTGGTTGCAAGCGATGCCCCGCTATGAACGGTCAGGGGGACGAGGAGCACCCACCTTTTCCCCTCCATCAATGGTGACGTTGATGTGCTTGAGAACCAAGTCCAGGTTTTCTCGGTATCGCAGGCCATAGTCACGGAATTCTACTCGGCCCACCTGAGGCCAGGTGCTGGGCGGAGTCATTTCCTGGACTTGCCAAGGAGCCTGTGATGGGGCAGGATAAGGAATCTTCGGTCCGTCTCAGCAGCCTAAGGCTACCGGCAAGCCGGCTGCACATCCCCTCTGACCCCTCTCCCTCCCTCTGGCTCACTCTGCTCCCCACGCGGCTGCACTGTTTCTAAACCGCACCTGTGCGCCCCCCGCTCCTGGGGCCCTGCACCCTGCCTGGAAGGCTCTTCCCCCATCTCCCCTCTGCGCATGCTCCCTCACGTGCTGCTGATCTCGGGCCACTGAGATCACCCCCTGGCTCTGTGCCCTCTATCCCCTCCCCTGCTCCATTCTCCCTCACACCGCATGGCACCTCCTAGCACTTGAGGTGTGTTTTTATTTGCTTATTGTGCTTCGCATGCCCCTGGAATGTCCACTCTAGGAAGACAGGTTCGTTCACTGTTCACTGCCATGCTCCAGCCCCTACAGCACACAACAGGGACTCCAAGAATATTTACGGATTGATTCGATCAATGAGTGGTCTTGTCTGGACAGACAAAAGGGTAGAGGTGTTACTCCAAACGCCTCCTACGTGTGGAGGGCAACTATAAAAGCAATGGCTAATGCTTTTAAAGAGCACGGTCACATGACCTCATTTAATCCTCACTACAGTCCCATGAGTGGGGTCCTTGCATGTGAGGAAACTGACACAGAGAGGGTAAGTAACTTGCCCAAGGTCACACAGCTCTTATTTCTGAAGGGCTTCTTAGTTCAGTTCAACATTTCCTTAGCGCTACAACTGGACGTGCTCTGGGCCGGGCTTGGGGCTAGCTTGTGGAAAGCTCAGGAATGGAGAGGACAAAAGACAGCGTTCATCCTTTCTCCCCCATAAACTTGCTATATTAATTTTTTTTCAACAAGCATATTTCCCTTTCATAAACTTAGGTATATAAATGAATGGACAGCTGTAAGAACATGGAGAGCACTAGAGAGAAGTAGATGGAACTTTCTAAGAAATAAAGACATAGATTTTTAGTAGTGATAAGACCCTGGATAATCTTTACTTTCTTTTGTATTTTTCAAATACGTTCTTATTCTAAAAACATAAAAACAATTAAAAGAAGTAAAAAAACATGGTACTTTCTAAAAAATCAATTTCATTTCATACTTTAAATGATGAACTGCATGGCATGTGAATTATATCTTAAAAGCTGTTGTAAAAAAAAAAACCAAAAAAACTCAGGGGCCCTTGGGTGGCTCAGTCGTTAGGCGTCTGCCTTCGGCTCAGGTCATGATCCCAGGGTTCTGGGATCGAGCCCCACATCGGGCTCTCTGCTTGTGGGAAGCCTGCTTCTCCCTCTCCCACTCCCCCCGCTTGCGTTCCCTCTCTTGCTGTGTCTCTGTCAAATAAATTAATTAAAAAAAAAAAAAATTCAGTGCAGTGGGAAACCCCTGGTTTACATTTCCACAGGGGGTGCTCACACCACTCTGAATAATGCTCTCTGATGAAGGGGGACCTGGGTCACTGTGTGAGAGCGTTAAGGATGGGGCATGGCTCACCTCTGTAGATCCCTCAAGACAGTTTAACCAGGGCCCTGGTCTCATTCCCAAAGGGCACCTTCTTGGGAGGCAGTGTGCCAATGGCCCAGACGCAAATTCTAGGTCAGCCATTTACCAGCCATGTAATCTTGGGCAAGTAACTTAACCTTGAGTCTCCGTTTCCTCACCTGTAAAATGGGGATCACGACAGAATGGGCGTTACGAGACTACGGGAAGGCTGTATGAATTACAACATGTCAGATGTGTGCTACGGGGCCTGACGCGCCTCCGGGGCCACAGTATGGGTCGCTGGCATGCCTGGTGGTGGCGGGGACGCTGGGGTCTCCCCAGGTGCTCGTTACGTCACTACCACTGCTATAGGCGACGGTGTGCAGGCAGAAAAAGGCAGTTTCTGAGGACAATGTGGCACTGAAATCTGGACACTGGGGTCCTACTCCCAGCCGCTCCAGCCACGTGTGACCTCGGATCAGCCACTGTCCCTCCCTAGGCCACCCTTTGCTCCATCTATAAAATGGGGACTTTGGTTGAATAACTGCAGGGTTCCCCAAACTTGGGTCAAATCCTTACCACCGTCACCATTTTTACAATATGCACGTACTGAGCCTCTTGTGAGTGCCTTTCCATGCTTTGAATCAACTCACGGGTACTTAATTTTTAAACTTCAAAGAGGAAACGAGTGTCTCGTTTTCCATAACAGAAGTCCCCCACGCAAATACGTGACAAGTAATGGAAGACAATTCTTGTCGAACAGAGGCTGCCTTGTAGCACATAGGCTGTGGCTCAGCGCAGCGCACGTGCGGGATAAGCCACACTGAAGAGGCCAGGAGAGGCCAGGGGAGGCCAGGCCAGGCACTGGCTTTACCTCCTTCTCCGTTTCTGAATACTCCTTCAGCCTCTCCACCGCCACGATGTTGGTCTCCATCTCGGACGACATGCGAACCAGCCAGTTCAAGTACGTGGTGACCTGCGGGTGGAAGGGTCACACAGAGCTCCTAGAGTGAGCACCAGTTGCTTTATCTTTGGGAAGTAATTACGAATTATGAAATGTGTTAGGTAAGACAGGTCCAGAAAACGTCCGCCTCACGTACCGCCATCACCCGGACGGCCTACACTGCACCTCGTAAGGAAACACGTTTCGAAATAACCCCCGGGCCACACAAGTCATCAGAAAGGGCACCCGAAAATATTCTGAAGTAGATGGTAAGAGGAAAATACCATGCATCCAAATTTGGGCGCCCCAGCGAAAGCCGTGACGGGAGGGAAAGTCACAGGACGGCCTTCTTCCTGTAGCTGGAGGCACCCTGTCGGCCGTCACCGGCCTGCTTGACTAGTGGGGGAGTCCTGGCCACGTGTCTCACCGCCCCGCCCCAGCGCCAGCGGGTCACCGGGATTCTCCAGTGCCGCTCGGCCCCCGTCCGCTCCCCCAGCTCCTGCCCGGATTCAAAGCGAAGGCCCAAGAACCTGAGGACTGACTCCCCCACGAAGAGAATGAGAAAATCCGGCCGAGAGCAGCCCCCTCTTACCTGCAGCGAGTACGACACGGACAGGCCCACCAAGCCGGCGCTGAGACTGTGTCTGGAAATCACGGCGAACAGGGCGGCGAACAGGACGATGCAGTTGCCTACACACTCCAGCCGCACCGCCAGCCACCTGCCCGCAGACACACAGACGGGCGGACAGACACACACCCGGAGTCAGTTTTCAAGATCCGGCGTCTGGTTCAAGCTGGCAGGGGTGGGGGGGTGGGGGGGTGGGCACTTTGCTAACTGCCAGAATTCCCTGCAAGGTCCCGAGAAAGGCCTTGTCACAGGGGAAGGACAGCCAAAGGGACACGGCCTCGCTGCCTCCTCATCAACCTGACAACCCCAGGGATTAAACGGAGTTCTCCAGAAGCCGACTTCCCAGGAAACTGAAGCCTGCCTTGTTAAGAACCAACTTTTTGGGACGCCTGGGTGGCTCAGTCGGTTAAGCGTCTGCCTTCGGCTCAGGTCATGATCCCAGGGTCCTGGGATAGAGTCCCGCATCGGGCTCCCCGCTCCACGGGGAGCCTGCTTCTCCCTCTGCCTCTCTCTCTCTCTGTCTCTCATGAATAAAAAAAAAAAAAAAAAAATCTTAAAAAAAAAAAAGAAAACCAACTTTTTTCTCACTGGAAGCTTTAAAATATACCCATCTTTAAAATGATGTCCGAGAGAATTTCTAAATACTAAGAAGTCATCAACTGTAAGAGGCACCAAAATAAAATAAGCTTCCCTTGGGAGTGCCTAGCTGGTGATCTTGTGGAGCGAAATCGGGGGAGCATGTGACTCTCGATCTCGGGGTTGTGGGTTCAAGCCCCACCCTGCCTGTAGAGATTACTTAAAATAACCTTCTCTTGGCAGGAAAGGGGGAAGGGAGAGATAAGCAACTATTTTCAATGTTGCTATAATGTTCCCAGAGCCAGATCATTCTCCTTTTAGAAATGTTAAAATGGATTATTTTACCTCTTAAACAGACAGATTATTGGTTAAAAGCTAACTTGTGTAAGATACCACAGCATTAGAAACGTTAACGTTTCAAGGTGTAAAGCATTTTGGGGAGATGAGGGTGTTGATCTTTCTGTCACTACAGCCCTTAAGATTCATGTGACTGATCTTCCTGGGTGTGTAGCTTCTCCCAAAGACAGCCAGATTTGATAAACTGAGAATTCTGCAGGGGCAGGCAGGGTCTCCAACAATTCATGGTCTCCCTGCCTAGTCTGACATTGTGGACTTATCCAGGGTGCTGTCACCCCCTCCCCAGAATTTTCTATCCCACGTCTCAAAACATGTATCAGGACATGAGTGAAGAGGGTACCCTTTTAGGGATCAATCAGACACTTTTCTGAATTTAGTCAACAAGGAGCAAACTTCTGTCCCTTCTTTTCGATTGATGTTACTCATCCGCTCGTGATCTTTCGGGCATGGAAATTTCACGTGGGCCAACCTAAGACTGGGGAATGGCTTCCCAGGCTCATCACACAGCGGTGGGGTGATCACCCCGCGGCCGAGAACCAGGACACAAAAATACTGGCTGACTCTGCCCGTCACGGATGATCTTGTATCACAGGACAACAGCTAATGGATAGTTCCGGCAGTATTTTCTGACCCCAGAACAACCTGGTCCCAGCTTTTACTCAATGCTTGGAGTTGCAGCGCTCTTTTTTTTTTTTTTTAAGGTTTTATTTATTTATTTGAGAGAGAGAGAGAGAGTGTACAAGCAGGGAGGGCAGGGAGAAGCAGACTCCCCACTGAGCAGGGAGCCCGATGCGGGGCTCGATCCCAGGACCCTAGGATCACGACCTGAGGACGCTTAACGACTGAGTCACCCAGGCGCCCCTCCTGTCTGCTTTCAATGGTCACTGCGTCCTGTCCTCCCGCCAAGTCTAACCACCCTGCTTGTGGGGGCCCGAGCCCAGCTTCATACCCTCCTCCTCCAGGAGCGAAGGCGGAGTTCTTAGTCCTCCACCTCCTCCCACGGGGCCTCGAGTGCCCACCTGTTGGCCACGATGCTGGGGTAATAGGCCTTCTGGTTCTCGTCCACCTTCAGGTCACTCTGGCGGATGAAGCGTTCCTGCTCCTCGAAGGCGCGGATGACGCTGACGCCCAGCAAGGTCTCACTGAAGTGGGAGTAGACCGGGGAGCGGCTCACCGACTCGAGGCGCTTCAGCTGCCGGGACGAGGCCACGTAGAACCTCTGCGGGAAGAGATGGGACGGCGGAGTGGGCCCAGCCCCTCCCATGCTGCCGCGTCCCCGGGCGGCGCTGGAGAAAGCCTGGAGCTGCACGGTACCTCCGGGAGGCGGCATGTCGGAGCCCGGCTGCTCTCCACAGGCGCCAGCGTTCATGCACGCACAGGGCTGACAGCAGCTAAGGCTCACACGGAGCCCGCCATCCTAGCAGAATTGTTCTTAATTTTTTTTTCAAAGATTTTATTTATTTGAGAGAGAGAGCACGAGCACTGGGGAGGAGCAGAGGGAGAGGGAGAAGCAGGCTTCCCGCTGAGCAGGGAGCCCGATGCGGGGCTCGATCCCAGCACCCTGGGATCACGACCTGAGCCGAAGGCAGACGCTTAACCGACTGAGCCACCCAGGTGCCCCAGTCCTAGCAGAGTTCTAAGTACTTTCACAGACATCAGCTCACTGAACTCTCACCAGAAATCCAGCAGGTGCTCATTCCCACTGATGCTCAGTAAACCAAGGCACAAAGAGGCTCGTTCACCTCTCCCCTAAGGTCACGTGGCTACAAGCGGCCGAGCTGGGGTCTGGACTCAGCCCGGCTGTGAGGTGCTAACCTCTGCCCTCTACAGCCTCCCCGAAGCCACTCCCCTCTAGGGTTTTACGGCCCCAGCGGCGTGGCTTTCTGTACAAGTTTTGAGGACAACCAGGCCTCAGTTCAAACCCCGACTCCACCTGACTCCGTGGGCAGACGCCCATCTGCTCTGCTCCTGCCCTAACCAGGGCAGACGGAACAAAAGCAACTCGCCCACTGGAAGCCTTGAGGAGCCATGAACAGAGGACAGACTGGTCATTTGAGGACACTGAGTTCTTGTGGCCTTAGTCCCCTTGTCAGTACAAACAGACCGAGGTTGCCCACTCCAGAAGTGCTCAGGACCTCACGTAAATGCAGCCGCCCTACGAGCGGCAGAGCCAGACAGAGGAGTAAGTCCCAGAAAGAGAGGGTGGACAGGGACACGGCCTCCCGGCCTCCCCGGGCCGTTTGGGGCAGAGACCTTCCACAGGGAGCAGGAAACCTAAGAGGGGACTCTAATGGGGCTCTGAGGTCAGCAGCTTCCTTCTGGATGGCAGCACACGTGGTAATGTGAACCCACACTTGGGCGGCCTTTGGGGCCCCAGCAACTCTGTAAGCTAGCCCAGGACCACACCAGGCCGGGCAGTCCCAGGACGGTGGCTCTGCCTGTCCCTGAGGACAGGTCAGGTGTCCTCTCACGGCTGTGAACAAACTCTGGAGGCCTCAGCCCTGCGGGATCTGTCCCGTTACCCTCAGCCGTGACGCCTCCTCTCCCTGGCTTTCTTTCTAGACATCCCGGATGGAAATCATTCCCAAGAGTTTTCCCTGCTCAACCTACTCCACTTCACATGTGCTCAGAATTTTATTTACTATAGAAAGCTCAGTATTTGTGTTTAAAAAAAAATTAGCTTCCCTTTTAAACTCCATTCCAGGAGACATAATCCACCCCCTGGACTCACCTTACTCTTTCAGAGACCAAGTGCCCCGTGCTCGTGAATGAAAATAACACTTGATACGCGCCTGCCTGAGCCATGCAGTGTGCTGTGAGCTAAGGTACTCGGACCTGTGGCTGGGAGGTTTTCACGGACGCCAAAATATTCCACAAAGCAGAAATGCCTCCTTCCGGCAACAAGGAAGCCCCAACACAATTCCACATCATCTTACCTCTTGCACCCCCTTTATATAAAAATGACTTGCTTTTGAATTAAAACAGTAATGGATATCCATTTAAAAATTGGGGGGGGTGGGGGCGCCTGGGTGGCTCAGTTGGTTAAGCGACTGCCTTCGGCTCAGGTCATGGTCCTGGAGTCCCGGGATCGAGTCCCGCATCGGGCTCCCTGCTCGGCAGAGAGTCTGCTTCTCCCTCTGACCCTCCCCCCTCTCATGTGCTCTCTCTCTCTCTCTCTCTCATTCTCTCTCGCAAATAAATAAATAAAATCTTTAAAAAAAAAATTGGGGGGTGATACAGATGGAAAGATTAAATAAAAATTAAATTACGGGGGTGCAGTCAGTTAAGTATGCAACTCTTGGTTTCGACTCAGGTCATGATCTCGGAGTCATGGAATGGAGCCCTGCTTTGGGCTTTGTGCTCAGGGCAGAGTCTGGTTGGGACTCTCTCTCCCTTTCCCTGTGCCCCTCCCTCCCGGTCTCTCTCTCTCTAAAATAACTAGATAAATCTTTTTAAAAAAAATTACATCCATTACTCTGAGATAAGCACTACTTATTTGAATCTCAGTGTATAACCTTTAGATCTTTTCTGAAGAAAGAGAGAGAACACACGTATATCTAAAACCCACTTTCTAATCAAGATATGACATACATTTCCATTACACTGGAAAATGCACCAAATCTTAACAGCTTGATGAATTTCACATGTATCTACACCTGCACACCCACTACCTGACCAAAATCTAGAACATCTCCAGCATCCCAGAAAATTCTTGCATCCTCTGGGTCAAAACCCCAAGTTGTTTCTAGTTTGGGGCTATCATGAACCAAAATACTAAGAACATTCTAGCACCTTTTTTTTCCCCCTGGATGCATTCTCTCATTTCTTTTGCATATACGCTGAGAGGAGACTGCTGGGTTATAGAATAAGGGTATATTTAGTTAAAAGCCATTAAAGAAAAGCACATTCACGGCACTTGGGTGGCTCAGTTGGTTAAGTGTCCGACTCTTCGTTTCAGCTCAGGTCATGATTTCGGGGTCATGGGACTGAGCCCCACATCGGGCTCTGTGCTCAGTGGGGAGTCTCCTGGAGATTCTCTCTCTCTCCTCCTCTGCCCCTTTCCCCACTTGCACGCTCTCTCTCAAAAAGATAAATAAATCTTTTTTTTTAAAAACCCACATTCTCTCATAAGCCCAACCCTTAGAGACACGATGTTTCCCTTCGGCTGCTCCCCTTTCCAGCCCTGCACATGTGCGTTATGCTTGCTCAGTTATATTAACAGTGCATATACAACAGAATCCTCTGCTGAACTGTCCTTGTTGTTTAAAAATAGTATCAGTGGCATTACGAGAGCATCTCCCTCATCGTCCTGTTAACGGATGACAGACCCCGCCAAGGCATCGCTGCACGTGGGCCCAAGGTCCTGCGGCTGGCAGCTATGGGAGCCACGAACGCAGCACGTGGCCTATTTTGTTCTTGTGAACTGGGTCCCTCAGGGAAATGTACAGCTAGAGTATGAATGTGGGTTGTATTTTTCGCAAATGCAGCAGGACGAGTTTCCAAAAACGCTGGCGCCAATTTAAAGAGAACACAACGAGGGTGCAAGAACCAGACCAGCATGCTCTGGTTCCACCTGCATTTGCGCTCACCGACCACCGGGCCGCAGCGTGGTGGAGTCTGGGGGCTGGCTGACAGGACCAAGGCCTCCGGACCCCGCATGAGTAGCCGCAGTGCAGCCTGATGTAGGGAACACTTGGCGGTTCTCACTCTCACCTTGTGCTGCGGTCATTAGGCTCCCATCTAAACCACTGGTCCCCACTGGCAACTATGCTGCAGCTAAGCTTTTCAGGACAAAAAGGGGCAGCACAGCATTGTGGTCACCAACACAAGCTTTAGGATCAGACAGACGTGAGTTCACACTCCCAGCTCCGCCACCTGGCCCTTGACATGCTCACCTACAGCTGCAAGCACAGTTTATGCTGCAATAACCTAAGGGACCACAAGGACTCGGCTGTCACATGCTCTTTTGCTCTGTTCCCTTTCCTCCTTCTCATTTTCTGAACTACAGATTGATGGCTGGAGCTCCAGCAGCCATCTTGGGCCATGAGATCAACTTAAGAATGAAGGCTTATGCAAAGACAGGAGAACAACAACAACAAAAAAAGCAGTGATAGTTAACAGTCTGGGATATTAACAGACTTGTGGAACTGCCATACCAGCCCCAAATGGCCCACCTCTATATTTCTACCATGAAAGAGAAAGACAGATGTCTATCCTGTTTAAGGTGCTGTTATTCACATCTCCACTTTCTGCATGGGGCTTAGGACCTAAAGAATTTCATAAAACTCTCTCAATTTTAACAATATTATTATTGCTATAAGTTATCATTGTTATTATAAATCATTATAGCTTTCCCCTTCCCTTTGATAGGTATTTAAAACTGACAAAAACAAATTCAACCCTCTTCCAGCAAATCCCCAACAGCTCCACGCTGGGGAAATGTTAAGATGAAGTGAGCCCTTAGCTCACATGGAAGTAGTGTACACAGCAGGCCCCCTCCTGCACCCTGACACCCCACTTCTCACCTGGACGAAGAAGTAGATGAGGCCAAGCGGCGGGATGATGATGGCGGCAATGGGAGTGGCCAGCAGGATGATGATGCAGGCGCCCATGACATTGAACAGGGAGCCCATGAACATCTTGATGACCTGCGGGATCATCGAGTCCACCGTGTCCAGCTCCTTAGAGAAGCGGTTCACCAGGTTCCCGCTGGGGGTCCGCTCGAAGAAGCTCATGGGTGACCGGAGGACGTTCTGTAGCAGGTCCAGGTGCAGGCGGCGGGAAGCCAAGATCCCCCCGATGGACACCGCCATGGAGTAGCCGAACACGGAGATACCTACAAACACTCTCATGGTCAACACCATGATGGGACACGGGCCAAGCTGGGGGTGGAGAGAAGCAGCCATGCGGATGCAACAGGCCTGGACTCTCAGCTTCTAAGAATGACGACGAGGACAAACAGGAGGAGGGGGACAGTAGTGGCTACTATTTACTGAGGACTCACTATTTATTAGACACTATGTAGGAGCTTGACACGAATCTACTTCCCACACTGACTCTGTATCATTCCTCTTAGCACCCATTTTATAGAGAAGGACACTCAAGGTCAGACAGGTGAACTCCTTTGCCCTCAACAGAATCAGCCAATCAGAAGCAAAGCTGCGGTTTCTGATCCAGGCAGCCTGCTCCGAGGTCATGCTCTTAATCCATGTACCGCACTCCTCTAGACCAGTGCCATGTGACAGAACTTTCTGTGATGACGCCCATATTCTGTATCTATGCAGTCTCGTGTGGTAGCCTCTAGGCACGTGGGGCTACTGAGCACCTAAAAGGTGGCTAGTGGCTACCAGAGTGGACAGCTCAGCTCCTAGAACAGATGCTGCCGCCGTGTGAGCCCAGGTAAACATCGCACCCTCCCTGTGCCCCACCTTCCCTCAGTGATCATGAGGAGGCCAGCCCTTTGCCCTGGGGGGGGGGGGGGCGGTGTTAGGGATTAAGAAATCGAAAAAAATCCCTGTCTGCTCTTCTGGTTTTCTTTCAAAGCTCTCTCCTGGAGATCATGAGACATCTGCGACTCCTCCACGCAGCCCAGAGCAGGGCACCCGTTCTTCGCAGACAGATTTCATAGGGAGGGGCGGGCTTCCTCAAGGAAGCGAGGGCTAAAACGACGGACTCTGAAGCCAACAGTGGCAAATCCTGTGTCACCTCCCAGCTGTGGGCCCTTCCCACAAGTCACTCAGCCTCTCTGCACCCCAGTTTATCTGTGAGATGGGGACAATGACACTTAGCTTGCAGCACTGCCGGATGTAAAAGGCCATGTGCTTAGCGTATAGAAAGTAGTCAAAAATATACAGAGGTTTATTGTCTATACTTACACATCGCAGACACAGAACGTACATATATATGTAAAGACGCTCACTGTTTTCATGAGCACCTGAACACACAGCTCATGCACTGTGCAGCCCAGTGACTAAGAGCACGGGCTCCCGGGCCAGAATGCCTCATCCGATGACGGCTCTGCCATGTACTTGCTGTGTGGCTTTGGGCAACTTAACTTCTCTGGGCCTGAGAGTCTCTATTTCTAAAATGGGGAAAACAGTAGCTGCCACCTCTTGGCCCTGTGCTGCAAAAACACACAGAAGGGTTTAGAAGCTACCCAGGCACCAAGGAAGGGCTCAGCGGACATCGGCTCTTACTGTTAATGCTCTTGTGTTTAGGGACCTTCATGGGCCCACAGGAAGGGTAAACAGGGTTTCTCAACCTCCTCACTGCTGACATTTGAGGCTAGATCATTCTCTGTTGTGGGGGCTGTGCTGTGCGCTGCAGGGCATCCGGCAACATCCCTGGCCTCTGCATGCCCCTAACACTACCCCCTCTCTAAAGCTGTGATGGCTCGAGGTACCTCCAGACGTGGCGAAATGTCCCCCGGGGGACAGCAGAGTCTGCACCGAGAACCACCAGCATAAACCAATTCCCATCCTCAGACAGCAGGTAGGAGTCCACAAATGAGACTTTACAGGAGCCCCATCACCTTCACTGAGCAACAAGGGGCAAGGGCCCTTGCTCACCAATGCTCCGGTGGGGGGGTAGGGGTGTGTGTGCTGCCATCCCTCAACTTTGCTCATCTGTAAAATGGGCATGTTAAGAGCTTCTCTCCATCTCCTAGGGCCCCATTAAACAAAGCATTCAAGAAATATTCACTCTACAAGTATCTGGGTGTCTACTAAGGGATAGGTACCATTCATGTGAGTTTGGCTTAGTTTGGGGGTCCACAAAGCCCTGACAAATGGGGGGACTCGACTCCATAATAACACATGGAAGAAGCAGTTTCAAGTGCCCAGATCAGATGGGCAGGGGAGGGTGGGAAGGGGTGGGCCCCCACCTTGCGAAATGCCCAGGGCTCCATAGACGCTCAGCCGGACTTTAGTGTGTTCCTGGGTCCCGTTGACGATGGGGTCATCAGTCCAGAGGCTGAGCCAGTAGTTAGAGGCCAGAGCAGCAATGTGGTTACACAGGAAAAGGAAGATGCTCAGAAAGGAGATGAAAAGTCCGATCGCCTTCATGTAGTCCCAGTACACGGACAGCTTGACCTGCAGACCAGGGGAGAGAAGGCCCTTTGCAGGCTGCCCCCCCCCACCACCAGCCGAGGCCAGGCACTCCAGCAGCAGCTGGGCCATCCTATCCCCCACCACCTATGCTCATACTCATGGCACATTCCCCTTAGTTATTTGACCGACAAAGTCAGCGGGAAAGAAAGTCAAGGTCTGTGCCCTCATGGAGCTTCCAGTCAAGTGGCAAGACAGGCTTTCCGTGCCCAGGTCAATGTGTAATTATAGAGAAGGGCTGGAGCAGTGCAGAATTCCACGAGAGTATGAAAGTGGGCAGCCTGACCTACCGGAGAGGTTTTCCCTGAGGAAGGGACAACAAAGAGTTAATTAACCAGGTGAATTGGAAAAAAGGCACTCAGGGCAGAGGGAGCAGCATGTGCAAGGGCCCTGGGGTAGGAGGGAATGCATCATGTGGCAGGAAATGAAAGGAGGCAAAGGTGGTTGGAACAAGATTGAGCTGGAGAAGCAGTAGTGGTCGGACCACACAGGGGCTGGAAGAGCCTGTTTAGGATTCTGAGCTTTAGTCCAGGACCGTTAGGAAGCCATCAAAGAGCAAACGGGATGGAGTGACACGTTGCCAAGCACCCCAGTGTTGCCTCCCCCCATTTCCTCTGAACAGCGAACACCAATTCTGCATCATTTCCACTGGCTTCCCATTGGCTGGCGCCCGCTTAACCTGCTCCCCAGCTCCACAGGGCGACAGGACTTCTTCCGCCCCCATATTCCCTGCGGAGCCCCATAAGGGCTAAATGATGATGCATAGTCATCCAAAGGGTGGCCTGATCTCAACACCAGGGGCCAAGGCCACCTGCTTCGGGCCAGCCCTATGCCCCACCTGCATGGCTTGGCTTCAGCCAACGCCAGGTATCCTTCCTTGTGTGTGCGCTCGCTGGCATTTCAAGCTTCTCACGCTGAATTTTGGGTCATAAAAACCATTTGTCTGAATTACAGCCTGGTTGAAAAGTAACAGGTGAAAGGCCAGAGGTCTCCTATATAACTGAGTGTTTCTTTCTGACTTTTCTCTGTATTTCAAACTAAAATAGTGGGGGGCAGGGGAGTGTCCCAGAATTACGATGTTTACTGTCACCATTTGGCTTTGTCGCAAAGCCAAGCAGCCCGCTGATCTGCAGATCCTGGAATTATACTGCAGGGCTCGGGGGCTCCTCATAAGCAGCAAACATGGTGGGTGTGGGATTCCGAAATTTGTGTGTGTGCTGCAGCCAGCACCACTCCTGGTCCAACTCTGGCAAGTTACAAGCCCCCCAGTCTGCGTTCCTGCTACTGAAAAGGCAGGTAACACTGGGACCCATCTCCTCTGGGCGGTGTGGGATTACACGAGGACTAACCGGGCCTGACATTGCTTCTCTGGTCCTTGATCTGCGGTCCTAACTCTGGCTCTGCCGAGGACCAGCGAGAGCAAGGAGGGAGGATGCACTAAGGCACTTCGCCCCTGGCCACAGCTGTGAGGGGAAGAGGAGAGAAGCAGCCTGGAGCAGAGGGTTCCGGGAGGTTCTGGATGCATCCAGCTAGATCCAAGAGAACAGCGTCCCGACCTCTCGTTCCTGCACCACCTCTCACGGGTGGCTTGTTCGTGTGTGTACTTATTCTTCTTTTAAAAATTCCGTTCCCTATTTTTTTAAAAACATACCACATGTATTTTTAAAAATAAACTTTGAATCATTACCATAAACGGAAAATTACTGACACGTGCCCAAAATAGAGGATTGTAAAACACATACAACCAATCAAGACCTTGAAACCGATTCTCCCTATGACAGAGAGAGGCTGGAGATTTGTGAGAGCTACGGACTTGAACGCTGTGTCCCTCCAAGTTCGCCCATTGAAATCCTCACCTCCAGTGCAATGGTACGCAGAGGAGGGGCCTTTGGGAAGCGATCAGATCGTGAGGATGGATCCCTCACGACGGGATTAGTGCCCTTAACAAAGGGGCTCCGGAGAGATCCCTCACCCCCTCCCGACAGGGAGGACACAGGGACCAGACGACGGTGTCGGAGCCTCCCTCTGGGCAAGCCCTCACTAGACGCCACACGGGGGGCTGGCACCGTGATCTCGGACTTGCCAGCCTCCAGGAAGTGTGGGCAATAATAGCAGCTTGCTTCTGAGTCACCCGGCCCATGGCCTTCTGTTAGAGCAGCCCCAACGGCCTGAGACACGCATGACAGATAAACATGCACCGAGCTCAGACTTTTTGTCGCGATGGAATCATTAGGACTAAAAGAGAAATGGAAAGAAATGAATCCCACCACACACACACACACACACACACGCACACACACGGTCACACGAGGGGAAGTGACAGAGGTGTTATCTTGTAGACCTCATCTGATCTACAACTTCCCATGCAGTGGGAAGGTGTGATTTAAAGCACCCACAGCCAACAAAAGCCCCCAGCCGCGCAGAGGTGGCGCTCAGTACAGCCGAGGCTCCAAACACCAGCCCTGGAGTCTGATGGCCCGGGTTCCAAGCCTAACTCTGCCGCCCCCTGGCGGCGACCTCGGGCAAGTCACCTAGGCTCTGCCACCCGTTTCCGGCGCTGGAAAACAGCACTGGTAGAGGCCCGTGGAAGGACTCGGTTTAACATCAACGAAGCGTTCTGCACAGGACCGGCCCGCAGCGACGCGCAGTGATGCCGGCCACGGCCCTCACTGGGGCAGCCGGTCCTCACCTGCCCTGTTTGCGCCTTGTCCGCCTCCACCAGCTTCCACGCGTCCTCATTCTTGGCCCCAGCTTTCTGCAGCTCGGCCGTGCTGGTGCGGTGGCGGCTAATGTCCCCGCCGTAGGAGGAGGAGTTGCTGAGCTGTCTGGGGAAACCAAGGCACACGGTGTCAACCAAACAGAAGCCTGACCACAACTATGCGCCAAACTAGCTCAATCTTCCGATTTTATAGTTGTGACACGCGAGGGGATCCGTGACACACGGCCCCACGGAGGAACCATTCCTTCATGCAGGAGTGATTCAGAAAGCACCTCTTGCGCCTGCCAGTGGTGGTCATCAGCTTTTTTTTTTTTTTTTTAAGATTTTATTTATTTGACAGGGAGAGACACAGCAAGAGAGGGAACACAAACAGAGGGAGTGGGAGAGGGAGAAGCAGGCTTCCCGCCGAGCAGGGAGCCCGATGTGGGGCTCGATCCCAGGACCCCAGGACCGTGATCTGAGCTGAAGGCAGACGCTTAACGACTGAGCACCCAGGCGCCCCAGTGGTCATCAGCTTTATGAGGACCATGACACATTATCGCAGATCATGTGGCCCCAAGCTCTCTTTGGAGACTTCTTCGACGTAGTCCCTTCCCCTGGGGACTTGTAACCTGGAGAATGACACAGGTGGATGGGTGTGTGTGCGTGTGTGTGTGTGCACACAGTGTGGACCTATGTGCAGGAATACCCTCTCTGAGCCATGGCTCAGCTCAGACTCACAAGGGCAAAGGGACGGGGTGTGACTTCCACCCTGCTTGCTGACGCTCCCTACCGCCTTCGTGGTTTGCATGCATCGAGGAAGCAAGCATGCAGGCTGGAGGCCCAGGATGCTGGCAACGGAGGGCTCCAGTTAGAAACTGAGGACGGTAATACAGCCCCAGAGGAGCAGAATCCTGCCAACAGCCATGTGAACTTCGAAGTGGATCCTTCCCCACCCCAGTCTTCAGATGAGACCCCAGCCTGATGGACACCTGTTGCGGCTTGTGTGAGATCCGGAGCAGAGAAGCCAGCTAAGCCGTGCCCAGACTTCGCAAGCCACAAACTTTGAGGTCATCTGTTGCATGGCGACAGATACGCCCAGTGTTCCCTATGCTTCTGCTCAGTCCACGCATGGTTCTCCCCGGCAAGCCTCCCACCGTCACCTACCCCTAGGTCCCAGGACCACCTGCAGGTGCTGCCTCGTCTCGGCTGTCCCAGCAAATTCTCAGAGGGCAGCAACCATGACTGACCACACTGGCCTGCCTGAACCCCTGCACACCCTGGGCGAGGCCCTATTCTAAGTGATTTACACACATACACCTAGCTCACCACCTCGACAGGTGCACCAACAGAGCAGGTAATATTTCTACCTGTCCCATACGATAAAAATCAGAGTCAGGGCGCCTGGGTGGCTCAGTCGGTTAAGCGTCTGATTCTTGGTTTCAGCTCAGGTCATGATCTCAGGGTGGTGAGACTGAGCCCCACGGTGGGCTCCACGCTGAGTGCAGCAGAGTCTGCTTGAGATTCTCGCTCTCCCCCTGCCCTCCCCCCACGCGCTCTCTCTCAAATAAATAAAATCTTAAAAAAAAATCAGAGTCTAGGAGGGTACCATGGGCAGTGTTCTAAAGGGCAGAGCTGCTCATGCCAATTTTGTTCCCAGCCTCATTTCTCTGAGATCTCCCTATGCCAGAGAAGTAACTGCAGGCAGCCCCAGCTCATGAATAAATGAGTGCTCTTTACTGGGTGTTGATGGAGGAAAGTACTGTGTTAAGTGCTTTACACGCACTACGTGGAGTCTGTCCCACTACAGCCCTCTGCGGTAGGCACACCATAGACCCTATCTGACAGGTAAGGAAACTGAGGCACAGAGAGGTTAAGCAACAATGTCCACGGAATGCTGCTCCTCTAAATCCCAAACGATCTAGCCGAAAGCAACCTCCTTTAAAGCAGCAAAAGCACAGAACTTTGGACTGCTGGCTCAGCGGCAAGGGCCTGGGTTCAAGTCCAAGCTCAGTTTCTGTCTGGCTGCATGACTTAGGGAGAGCACTCCGTTTGCTAACCTGTAAAATGGGAAGACAGGAGTAACCACCTCCAGGTTCAACACACTGCACAGGGCTTGCCACTGTGCCTGGCTCTGGAGGGTGCATCAAACATCGAGGTCACTATTACTGTGACTATTTTGGTTCAAATGCCGGCTCTTAAGACCTGAACACTGCAGGTTCCTCCGAATAACTTGAGCAAAGACCCACATCCTGCAGGGAACTTGAGCGTCACCACGTGCAGGCGGATGGTTACATCCTGAGGCCTGTGTGAGTTATGCCCCCTGGTAGAGCAGTGTGGCCCCCACCCCTCTTCAGGCCCCTGAAACATGAGCTCTCCTAGCAATTTGGGAAAGGAGGCAGAAAGCCCCCATTTTCCGTGACCCCGGGGAGCAGCTCATGTGACCTTGTTCCTCTTCTCTCCCCCCAGACAGGGGGCAGAAACAGGGTACCTGGAGAGTCCACACGAACAGAGCTCCCTCTCTGCTCATACCTCTGCAGCTGCTTCCCCGCGACATCAGTCACCAGCATGCCATTCTCCATCTGCTTCACCTCCTTCCCTGGGCTGCTGACACTTGTTAACCCTGGCACAAGAGAGGAAAGGGGGAAGTTGTGGTTTCCAGAGCTGGATGCCAAGATCAAAGACATTTAGGAAAACCGGTCACTTGGACGGGACATGGCGGATAACCTGGCCACCAGGAAGCTCAGAAAACTAGACGTGCTTGGCTGAGGCCACAGACAGGTTCCCGGCACAGGGGCAGGTCTGTGGAGCCAGCTGACTCCCTTGGGACAGAGGTGCATGAAACTTAGTCCAAGGGGCCAAGATGCAAGGAGCCAGGTGGGCAACAGCGCACAGCCCTCTGGTCCCCAAGCATCCCAAGCAAGGGTGCTACTCAAAATAAGTAACAACCAGTTTTGACAAGGGCATCAGCCAACAGGAGGAGTCCCCGAGGGCGCCCCGCCCCCACCTCCCAGTGCCAAGAGTTAACCCGGACCTCTGGGACGTCCAGAGGTCTGGGGCAGGGGGTACCCGGAGCACTGCCATTTCCCCCAAACAACTGGTACAGCCACCCCGAGGCACACCAGCCAGCCAGCTGCCCTAGTCCCAGGAATTACGCCCCTGGCATCAACACTAATCACCATAACCTCAATGACAGAATGACATGACATAACCTCAACGGCTAACATTTATTGAATGAGTGGTGGCCCCGTGCCGTGTGGAAATACATCATCCCCCTTCATTTGCCCGACTACTCAGTGATGCGTTATCATTCCCCGGCCCTGATCTCATGCTGGCGCCAGGAGAGCGAGCGAGCCTGCAGGAGAGACGCATGGCAGAGGGCTCCCCTGGGGCTGGCCCAGAAGAGGATGGGAGGGTGTGCAGGGGAGACGTTCCACAAGGGGACTAATATGCAGCTCTGGCGGTGACAGGGTGACCCTGGGAACACGCTGATAGAATGCGAACTGAAACCAAATGGCTCTTTCGGACCATGACAGTCACAGCGAGAAACGGAAAACAGAAGAGCGGGGCGGGGGAATCATTCTGCGGTTGGGGGCGGGGGAGCTCTGAGCTGGTTGATTGTCCATCTTGGCTGTGAACGATGCACGCACCCGGGGATGCCCCTGGCCCAGCTCTGGTCCCTGCAAGGACTCTGCCTGTAGGGAGGCCAGGCCCCCATGCTGAGTCAGAGCGCAGTCTGGAATGGAGTGTTCTCTCACTTCCTAGCTGTGTGTACTAGGGAAGCAATAAACGGCTCTGAGCCTCAACTCTCACAGCTGCAAAGGGCGAATGACCACTACCGCCCCTTTCCTAAGTGGGAGGATGAGTGAGGCCACGCATGGTGCTTGGGAAGTGACAGACCATGGTGGTGCTTAGCTGGTACTCGCCTTTTTAAACATGTTCTACGGATAATTCTGGGGTGCAGCCAAGATGGAGAATCACTGCTTTACACATTTCTTTTAATGGCAGCATCTTTTTTTACTTAAAATAAAACCTAAACTAAGTTAAAAAAAAGAATGATAACAAGCAGGACGTTCCATGCAGGTGCATGCAGTCAGGGCTCATAAACGCACACAGCACTGGAGGCCCAGGCCTGGCCTTGACCAACTCCCTCGTTGCCGGGACAGGCATGCTTGAAAACGTTCCCAGAGACACGGCCCTGTGGCAGGGGCATCAGACAGCTCCTCGCTCCCGCCTGGCTATGCAGGCCAGCCTCAGTAAGCTTCAGGCTTCCCTTCTGCTCCCCACTCAGGATGAGCCCTAAGGTCTGGATGGGAGACCTCACAGTGGCCTTCCGTGGCCCCCTTCTCCACCAATCAGCCCACAGGTTGATACACCAGCGGGGCCAGCTGGAAAATTCTCCTCTGCAAGGGGAGGGACCAAGAGTCCTAGAAGGCAATAGGAACATGGGTTGGTCCACCACTCCATCTGCCTCCTTTGCAAGGGGTCAGCTCTTCCCTCTTCCTACAGTCTTGGCAGACCATGGGCGGGAGGTGGGGGGATGGGGGAGGGGGGCTGCCCAAGGTCAGCCAATCAAAACCCCTTCCCCAAGACTGTGAACCATCAGTGGCCCCCTGAGGACCAAAGACAGTTCCGGCGATCCATCCTAAAGGAGTCTGATTCCCAGAGTTCCCATTTCCTGAGTCCTGATTACTTGGTCTGGTCTCTGATTTCTGAGTGATCTGCTTCTCCTTCCAGTAAACACCCTTGTTGAAGTGGCAGGAGTCGGCTTCCGTGGCTTACAAAAGAGCCCTTTGTCTGGACCCTCGGCCACACTGCTTAAGGAAGGCAGGAGGGAGGGATGGGTCCAGTCCAGCGGCTGATTCATGCCTTTACCTCACCAGAGGGAACCAGGGCAGCCTTCCACGGTGAAACTCTGTTAAAAGACATCCCCCCCACCGGGCATCCACAGCCACCTTGCAGTGACTCTGTCAGGCGCACATCACCCTGTACTGCCTTGGCCTGCCTACGTCCTGACCATGCCCAGGAGGTGAGGGTGGGATCGTGACAGTCAAACCGTGGGCCATTCATTGTCCACCCACTACGTGCCAAGCATGTTGCAAACAGGATCTCCTCCAAGGCATGCTCATCGTGGTCATTTGACCTACACAACAGTCAAGCTTAGCCCAGGCCACCCAGCGGAGGAACAAGAGATCTGGGGATTCAGACTATCTCCCCAAGTGCCCACCGCAAAGCCTGGCACATAGTAGGTCCCCAAAAAATGTTCGCTGGATGAACAACGGAAGGGGGTAGAAATAGAGACGGTGGAGGGCCTCTTTCCGAGCATGCAGCAACAGGCCCAGTCCGTCTACAGCCTCCCCCTGCAAGCACAGCTACTTCTAACCCACGTGTCACTGACCTTCCCCCTCCTCGTCCACCACTTTGCCACCTGAGAATTCACAAGATCCAGGAAAGTGTTAAGAACCAAGGCAACACTCCCTCCCAGAACCCCCAGTTAAATGCCCAGAGCGGATGGATGGAGGTCCTCTCCTAAGGATGAGGGGCAGAGATGGCCAAGGGACCTGCTGCACCTGTATCTCAGTATCCCCATCCCACATGTGCTGGGTGGATCCTGACAAGCACACCGCATGGGGCCAGCTCTTTTGCTAAAGCTTATAAACGTGTTTAAACATAAGAAGATCTAGAAAAATGCAGGCCAACCCTCTGTCCCTACACCTGTTTTCATGGCAGCAGAGGGAAAAAAGTCAAGTGTTACAGCCGGGCAGGGCAGGCGTGGCTGGGAGACAGCACAGACCTCGGCTCCAGGCCGCAGCCTTCAGCTCCTGAGGACAGATGCTGCTCATGAGAGGGGCCTGGGCCGCACGCAGCCTTACTCTGAGCCAGACGCACATGGAGCCAAGAAAAAGGGAAGAGAAGGTGACCTGGCTCAGATTTCATCTTGGCCCCTCCCAGGCGGGAATGAGGATGCCTTCTTGGGGTTCTCACAGGCCCCCAGGCTCGCTTCCATCACTGCATCTAGCACCACCACACCCTTGATTATTTGGCATTTGTCTCCCCAAACAGAGGGGAGACACGCTGAAGACTGTGAGCTCTTAAGAACACAGAGTAGGTCTTACCCACCACTCTCTTCTCAGCACCTGGCACATCAGCACCAACCACATCATGTGTGGTTGCACAGGACATGCACTATACGACCCAAGGGCAACCATTCCCCACAGTGGCTCAAGTACCAGGTGTCCCCAAGGCACCCAGTAGGCGCTCTGCATACACCTGATACGCAGATGGAGAGATTAATAGGCGAACGGCCGAGTGAACAACCACAGCTGACCTTCCAATGCCAGAACAGGCACCCCAGGGGCCACCAAGATGCCATCTCAGAAGCCCATACCCACAGAGCCGGTTTCTAAACCAGCCCTGGAGAAATGGGTAAAATCAGCGCCTATTTTCTTCTAACCTGGGATATTTGGACAGCTGTGTTAATGTCCAAAGCTTACGTGGGACATGTCTTAAATAATCAAGGCATAATGTACTTATTTGCTTATTATAACAGATTACACTGAGCGTCTACTATGTGCCAGGCACTCTTTCCAGCCCTGGGGATACATAAGTGACCAAAAAGCCCTCGTGGGGCTTAAACTACAAGGGAGAGAGAGAGAACACACAAAAGGACTAGATCCAGAATTAGCCGTCAGGCAATGTTTAGAGCTACAAAGAAAACTAAAGCAGAGGAAGGGGAAAATGAAGGGAGCTGGGGCTGAGGGATGCTAGAGAACAGTTAAGAATTTTTTTTTTTTTTTTGGTAAGCAAAGGCCCGAAACTTGTAATCTAATAAACGTTTCCCAAGTGCCTCTAGGTAGCAGGTATGGGGCTGTCGGGCTGATAAGCCTGGCACCGTCCCTGCTCTTGAACCTCTTCAGTACCACTCCCAGGAGTGGCCCTCAAAGCCACTCAGAGCTCACTGTTTATTCTCAAGAAGGTTCTGGAACTCTGCTTGGGCACGGGCCAGCAGGCCAGCTTCCCTCGAGGGAAGAATCCAAGTTACTCCTTTACAGTCAACGCTTCGTTTTTGACCAAAAACGGAAGTGACCAGCTGCATCACCCAGCCTGATCCACCCGCCTAGGACCAGAAAGTTCTCCATATTCAAATGGAAGAAATACGGCCCCTGAAGACAGCCTAAAGGAATGTGCTGTGTGTACGACAGACTCTCCAGCAGCTGTTCAGTGTTTGTGACAGATTTTTGTAATAGGGGGAGGTGCTTATGACCGACCCACTGTTCAGAAAAGCAAGCAAGCAAGCAGCATTGATGGCTGAGAGCGCAGTAGGATGCTACTCCTCTCAGGAGGAAGGCCAAGGAGAGACAGACACAGACAGCCCCTCTGGCGGGTGGGCCAGTGGACAGACATTCTTTCTCCTGGTTCTCTGCGTTGTTCTGCAACTTTCCAATGGTCTAAAATGAGCACATGCTGATTTTATGATCGGTTTAAAAAAAAAAAAAGAAAAAGAAAACCTTTCAAGCAAAGATCTCAAAGATGGAGAAAATCAGTCATGAGGTTGAGAGATGAGCTGAGCACAGGTCTGAGAAGCGGGCATATTGTTGGGATAACAGTCTTTCTCCTAAGACCACAGGGAAGAACTGGGACGGCATGAAGCCGGGGCATGGCAGCTTGCTCAGCCTTGGCACTAGGGACGTTGGGGGCCAAATGATGCTCTGTTTTCTGGTGGGGGTGGGGGGATTTGCTGTGTGTGGTAGGCTGCTTAGCAGTATCTCTGGTCTCTACCTTCTATGTGCCAGCAATGCCCCTCCCCACCCTTCACCCCAGTTGTCACAACCAAAAATGTCTCCAGACATTGCCATATGTCCCGGGAGGCACAAACGTCCCCCGATAAAAACCACTGCTCGAGACTTTAGGTTCCTAATAAAGAAACCAGAGTAAATAGAAATGTTCTTCACCTTCCAAGTACAAAGGTTAATGAGTCAATTTGTAACTCTCTTTGCCACCTGAAAAAAAAAAAAAGGAAAGACAAAAAGACAAAAAAAGGAAAAAGTATCTGACCCACCAGTGTAATAAATATGCCTGGGAAGGGGTCGGTATCTCCCCATCCTATGCCTATTTCCTGGTGCATCTGCACTTCCCTACCCCGGTGGGGAAAGAGTCCCCCCAAACCAAGCACTCTCCCCCTTCAGCCTGGGTGTTCTAAAAAAGACCTGATTAATCCAACAAGGAAAAAAAAAAAAAGAAAGTTTCCCTTTAGGAGAAGCCAAAAATGTGGTTCAAACAAATCCAAGGTCACTGGCTCTTGGGAGTCGGCTACAGCGGATCAAGAGTAGACCCTGATGCCAAGCTGTATCACTGGGGGGGGGGTCCCCCAAGAGAGCTGGAGAGAGAAGGGCCTGCCCAGTCTGAGTTCAGACCCACAGGCCGAGGACTTGTGTGTGAGGCCATGTGGCTGGACTGGGAAAATGACCACACGGCAGTGCGAGGGTGGCGGATGGCATTTTCATTGCCAAATTAAGTGCTGACGTGGCCAAAGGAAAAAAGAAAAGGGGAAAAAAAAAAAAAGGAACTGGCAGCATTCTGTGGTTCTGCATCAACTGTTTCGGATCTGCTGGCAGTAGTGGAGGAAGGGAAGAGAAAAAAACCATCTGTGGTCAACAGAGTTTAAGGACGTTCCCTGTGCACCTGGACAGAAAGGAGAGAGACCACATTCTGGGAAAAAGATTTAGTTGAATACACATGTGTCACTTGAGAAAGCACACGGGGTCATTTTCACCCAACTGAAGCAAGTCTGTAAGATACAGTGCTCCTGAGGTTGCCCCACCCAGCGTGTGATCTTGGCTTGACCATCAGAAGGTGCCGGCTCTGCAGCACGAGGGAAGCAGGCTAGACTTAAGGCAGAACTTGCCAACCACGAGAGCACGGACATGCAGGAACTCATTCTGATCAGGAATGAAAAGCTGAAGGAACTTCTTGCCTCATACAGGTAAAAGGAAATGCTTTGCTTTTAAAACCACTGGGGTTCATAGCAGCACAATTTATACCAGCCACAACATGGAAACAACTTGGAACGATCAACCAACCAATGAACGAACAGACAAAATGTGGCGTGGTATTCCCCAGCAACGAAAGGACATGAAGCGCAGACACATGCTACCTCACGGGTGAGCCACCAAAACCTCACATGGAGGGAAGGAAGCCAGGCACGGAGTACCACACGGTCTAGAATTCCATTCATGTGCAATGTCCAGAACAGACAAATCTAGAGGCAGAAAGATGCGTGGGTGCCTAGGACTCGGGGCGCCAGCAGAAAATGCACAGGGATTGCTAACAGGCTACGAGGTTTTCTGGAGGGGCAACGAGAACGTTCTGAAGGTGATTCTGATGACGGCACAACACGGAACATACCAAAAATCACTGGACTGTAACACTTTAAATGGGTGAACCATATGCTATGTGAATTCTATCTCAATAAAGCATTTACTACAAACCACTAGGACCCCCGCAGCAAACCAGAGCAGAGGAATGAATGAGCCCCCCACCCCGGGCAGACACAGAGGCAACTGAAGGAAGGAGCAGAGGACTGAAGCTTAGAGGCCAGACTTGAGGGCCTGACCTGACCAGCAGCCACCGTGTGTCGTTGGATAAGCTGCTCCCCCTCTCTGACATTCAGGGCTTCCCACTGCATGGAGACCAAAACCCAAACTCCTCACCCTGAAGACCCATCTCCCACCACTGTCCCTTGCCCACCGTGGTCTGGCCACACTGGCCTCCTTTTCATTCCTTCCACAAACTGACCTCACACCAGGCCTAAGGCCTGTGCACCTGCTGTTCCCTGGGTCAGAACACTGTTCTCCAGATCTTCTCCTTGCTGGCTCCTTTCCAGGCCACTGTCACCTCCTCAGAAAGGGCTTCTCTGACCACCCCCTAGGTGGCCTCGTGCCACCCCCATCACTCCCCCAGCTCATCATCTGCGGTTTCTTCTTTTTAGTGCTTAATGCTCCATGAAACTATTTCTTTCTTGATTTGTTTTTGCCCTTCTCTCCCACCAGATTCTAAACTCCACAAGGGTAGAGATTTGTCTAGCTGTCATTCACTTTTGTCTCCGAAACTATTATGGGCTGAGTTGTACTCCCGTCCCAAATTCGTATGTTGAAGTTTGAAGTCCCCAGTCCCTCAGAATGTGATCCTATTTGGAGACAGGTTACTTGCAGGTGCAATTAGTTAAAAGGAGGTCATCAGGGGGGGCCCTAATCCCACATAACTGGTGTCATTAGAAAAAGGGGAAACTCAGAGACAGACACACACACAGGGAACACTGTGTGAAAATGAAGGCAGATATTGGGGTGATGCTTCTACGGGCCAACAAAAGATAGAGACTGCTACTAGGTTAGCAGAAGCCAGGGGAGGGGCGTGGAACAGACCCTCCCTCAGAGCCTCAGAAAGAACCCATCCTGCCAACACCCTGGTCTTGGGCTTCCAGCCTCCAGGACTGTGGGAGATTACATTTCTGTTGTGTGAGACACCCAGTCTGGGCTACGTTGTCACAGCAGTCTTAGGGAAATAACACAAGCATTTAACACACAGTAGATGCTCAATAAATTCTGCTAAACGACCACAATGATGAACAGTAAATGGCTCTTTCTTAGGGACCAGCGCCATTCACAGAGACGGGAACCTGGCTGTCCCTGGCAGAGAAGGGACAAGCTTCCCTAAGCCTCAGCTTCCTCACCAGGGAACTGGGAATAACAATTCTACTCCTTGAGTTGTTGGAAGGAGTCAACAAAGTAACTCCTGCAAAGAACAGGAGCCCTGGTTAGCCTTTAGCAAGCACTAGCTGTGTCTTAGCTTCCGATCACAGATACTTCCAGAATACCTGCACCCCTGCGAATGGCCAGCCCTGCCCCTGTGGACAGTCTGAGACCTGCCTGGGGACAGAGTACGAAAGGAACATGCCCCAGAGGCTCGGGGAGTCTCTCATTAGCTCCGGGAGGCGGGAGATCAGGGCAGGACTGGTGACCTCTCTCAGCAACAGCTGAAGGCAAAGTAGAAAAGGTGTCAGATGACCTCTTCCCTCTCTGTGGGGTCAAAGCTCCAAGAAGGGGAGCAGAGGAGCCTGCAAGACTCCAGTCTGACTGATGAAAACACAGGGCAGCCTGAAGGTTGCAAACAAATCCCCTGAATTTTAAGCCAACAGAAGAGAAAAGATTCTTAAAAGTCTCGCCACAGAAGCCTTCACGTAAGGACAGGGTGAAGCCCCAGCTTTCGGAGCCCTGGCCTGGGAGAACACGCCAGGTGCGGTGGCTGGGGAGCGGGCAGGTCTGCAGGGACCTGGCAGGTGCCAAGTGCACGGGGATAAACGATGGGCACTCCTCCCAGGGAAGTAATGACAGCAGTTGTCAGGTACGGAACATTCTGTGCCGGGCACCATGCCCAAGGCTCTATGGAATTGAGCACATTAAATCTCCACCAAATACCCGAAGGTTGTCCTGCTTTATCAGTGAGGAAACTGAGGCTCAGAAGGGTTTGGACGACCCTGGTAAGAGGAGCAATGGGACTCAAACCCAGTTCTCGCCAACTGCCAGCCTGCACGCTCAGCCACCATGCGTCCCACCCCCCGACCCCAGCATCTGTTCTGGACTACACCACATATGTCACCGCTTCCCACAGCCTCCTGAGAGCCAGAGGACTATAATGATCACTGTCCCCATTTCTGCCACGAGAGCGCTGAAGCCCGGCAGGCCCAAAGCCACCTCGCAGCAAAGGATGAAGACCTGGGCCCAGGTCCGCCGCCCCAGCCGTAAAGCACTGGGACCCCCTCTCAAGTCAGCCCTGAGAGCCTTCCGGTGATCCTTCCACAGGGTTCCTGAAGGGGCTGGCCCAGCACTGATGAGGGGCACCAGACGGGGGCCGGGGGAACCTCCAGGAGGCCGCGGGGCTGGGCCCTACCGTCGTCCTGCTCGGCCCGCTCCTGCTCGGTGCTGGCATACGTGCGCAGGAACTCGGCGAAGGCGCCGTCCCGGGCTAGCAGCTCCTGGTAGGAGCCCATCTCCGAGATCTTGCCGCCGGTCATGACGATGATGACATCCACCTGGGGCAGGTAGCTGATGCTGTGCGTGACCAGGAGCCGCGTCTGCGGGCAGAGTGGGGACCGGCGGGTCAGCGCCTGGGCGCGACAGGCATGCCCCGACGCCCTGCTGGCCGAGCTCAAGCCTGAGCGCCTGGGGCGCCCCTGGTCTGTGGGTGCCTTCATTCAACCCGTGCCTGCCAGGAGCTGGTCAGTGGGCAGGGAAACGGGTCCCCGCCTCACACTCCTCGGTCAGGCGGGGAGAAAGGATGGACAGAAGGACAACAAAGTGCGTGCTGGCTGTTGCACGAAGCAAAGGGGACGGGCTGAGGGTGGGGGCTGCAATTCTAACAAGGGTGATGGGGAAGCTGATTTGTGAACAACAATTTGAAGGATGAGGGGGAGGCACTGTGGATGAATAAAAGAATGAACCCGATACAAAACAATTCACATGCAATGGCTTCATTTTTTAAAGTAACCCCCCCCATAAAAAACCACTACAAAATTTGTACATGTGTATATATTTTATACAAATTAAGTCAAGGTTGGGAAGGACGCTCAGCAAACTGCATGAGGCGACCAGCTTTTCCTTAAAGGGCCAAATGGTAAATACGTTCGGCTTTCTGGAGCCTCCGGTCGCTATGGCAACGATCAGACTATGTTGCCACAGCGGGAAGGTGGCCGTACACAAGACAGAAAAAGATTATCTGGCCAGGTCCCAGCAAAGCTTTACGCAGGAGCTCCGGCATTTCAATTCAATGCCATTTTCATTTCCATAGGTCTCAAAATACTATTTTTCTTCAGATTTTTTCCCCAACCACTGAAAAACGTGAAGACCTTTCTTAGCTCAAGGGTGGTCCAAAAAGAGGCAGCAAGCCAGACTGCTGACCTCTGCTCTTGAGACAAGAACCAGAGGGGAGGAGAAGGGAGGGCCTTTTTTTTTTTTTTCTTCGCTTTCCATATACTCTTATACCCTTTGATTTGGTTACCACGGGCATGTGTCATTCTGGTAACAAAAATTTCTTTAAAAAGTACGTTTATACAGAATTTTTGGGTGTGTATGGGAATGCTTACGGCAAGTTAAGTGGCACGGTGCCTACTACATATATATATGTGCACGATGTGCTGACCCTATTAAAAAACCTTCTACGGCTTGAAAGAAAGAAAATCTCTATGAAGTGGGACTGGGCACAACTGCTTATGTGTTTTTCTTTCTCGTATTTTTCTGAATCTCCTGTTTTCCCCACAGGCATATGTGTTACTTCTTTCTCCAGAAGAAAAAAAAAAAAAAAAGAACCAGTGCTCCCTCCCAACCACCCTGTAATTCCCCTAAAAATAATCATCATCTTCAAGAGGGGAAGACCCATTTCCTGTCACGTTACGGTGGTAAGGCAGGCTTCCTGCTCCTAATCTCTGTCCCTCAGCCCACAGCCACCTCAGCAGTGAAGCAGGGGCTGCCCATTCAGTCAGAGGGGATGGGATTTCCCTCTGCGAGGCCACCCCTGTAATTAAATCAGGAAGAGGGGCCTCCGTTGGCCACGTGGAGACAAGGATTGCAAGCCAGTGTCAACGACTTCCCGCTGTAAGGACAAGAGCAAGAAGCCTGTCCTGGGAAGGTATCCAAGGGAAGCATTAGAAATGTGTTAAGTCCAATTTTAAAAAAAACCTAATTCTGGAAAGTGAGAAGTGAAAGATTCCCCCAGGGGACACATTCTGACTTAAGTAGAGATGCCAGACGGCCACACCCCCGAGCCCTGCCCCTTTAGCAGGTACCTTGCTCCTCAGCATCCCCTTGGGGCCAATGACATTTTCAAATATGTGTTTTCCCACGTGGGCATCCACTGCCGACAGGGGGTCATCGAAGAGGTAGATGTCGGAGTCACAGTACACGGCCCGGGCCAGGCTCACTCGCTGCTTCTGGCCCCCAGACAGGTTCACGCCCTGGGGAGAGACAGAGCAGAAGGGTGGGTTTCCCAGGGAGCCTTGCGACCTGCGGACAAGGAACCCCGCTCAGGATGCAGCAGACCCAGGCCGGCGGCCGTGCAGTGCTACACCGCTTCCTCTCGTTGGAGTAGGACGCAAAGGCGTGAGATGGTATCTGCGTGAACTGGGTGCGAGGCCCGCCATGGGGTCTAGCCTCTGTGAGCTGCTGAGCGGGCACCCAGCGCAGAGTGGTGATTCAGCAAAGGCTGGCTGGGGGCAGCAAATGACGGGGGGCCACGAGGAAGGCACCTGCAGATGCGGTAATGATCCTATCCTGGCTGCCGCCCTTAGAGTTGTTAACAGCTGACATTCTTGTGAGCTTGCTCTGATCTATCACTCACTGCGAAGCCACACAGAGCCGCGGCAGGCTGTACTCTGGGGGTGCTGAAGTCCAGCCCCACTCACCAGGAGGAAGGGCACTGATTTCTAATTTACACGGGAGCACTCCACGGAGCACAAAGCAGCAGTCCCAGCCCTCCATCCGGCAACAGATGACCGAACGTCATTTCCATATGTGGCTGGGGAATCAAAGGGGACCCCCCACCTGTTAACTGCCCAGTCTCTCCCGAGAGATGCCTGCCCTCCCTAGGCACCGAGCTGCGGTCCTGGGAGCCAGGGTTCTTCTGGATGGCCCCTCTGGCCACAGCACCTTGGCCCAGGGGCAGACACCAGACCCAATCATAGTCTCTCGCTCTAGATTTTGGTACTGGGACCTAGAAAAGGAGAATCAGGAGTCTCCCAAGGGGCAGAAGCAGACACTTGGGTTAAAACAACAACTAGCCCAGGCTCCTTTGCTAACTGCAAATCCAAAGAGCCCTGCTAACAGTTGTTTTTTCTTTCCAAGGAGCTGTAGGTTCCCTCAAATAAAAGAAATCGTTCAGCAACTAAGGAAGCTGGGGGAGCCACTGACTTGTAACTTAAGAGAAGCTCCTTGGTGCTGCTGTGGAACATCTGTACTCCCCAAACGCACACCAGATAATGACCAGGGATGCTGGAACAGGCTGGCGGGGCAGTGGAAAAGCACATGCAAAGACCCTGAGGTGGGAAGAGGCTCGGGCAAGTCACTCAGCCCCTCTATGTCTCTTCCTCCTTAACCACGAAATGGAAATAACAGTAAATCCCATCTCATGGCCTTGCTGTAGGATGCATATAAAATGTTTATCACAGGGCCTGGCACAAAGTCAATGCTGAACAACGTGAGCTATTGTATCATTACTTTTACTACTATCCTTATTTTGAAAGGGACTGTGGCCGGGCGCCTGGGTGGCTCAGTTGGTTGGGCGACTGCCTTCGGCTCAGGTCATGATCCTGGAGTCCCTGGATCGAGTCCCGCATCGGGCTCCCTGCTCGGTGGGGAGTCTGCTTCTCCCTCTAACCCTTCCCCCTCTTGCGCTATCTCATTCTCTCTTCAAATAAATAAAATCTTTAAAAAAAAAAAAAAAAAAGGGACTGTGGCCCTTTGACTCGCGGATACACTTCCCCCTTGTATAGTGTCCTGTCACGTGACTCGGGTCACGTGACTGCTAAGGTAGCGTGCACTTCCTGGTCCCTTATCTTTCAGTTCAATCAAGTGAAAACGACAATATGCTTTACAGGACATCACCTGGGGAGCTACGGGGGTTTTGCTCTTGTTCTCTTGGGCTTCTGCTGTCACCATAAGAAGAGCTTCCCCCTGCAGAGCTCCTGTCCCTGCAGCAGGAAGCCCCAGCAGGAAGGTGTGTGGGGCAGACCCTAGCCAACCCTACAGCCTGGAACAGAGCTCGGCGGGTCTGTGCTGTGAAGCAGGGCTGCCCAGCTGAGCCCAGTGTGGGTCAGCCACCCTCGGTCAACCCACACACCCACAAATGGGGGATTAAGTGTTTAACATCCAGCCCCAGAATTCTGTGGCTGATACAGCGGCCATGCTGCAGCCGTACCGACCTTCTCACCAATCTCTGTCCGGTCCCCACTGGGCAGGATTTCCAGATCTGGGAGGAGGGCACAGGCTTCAATGACGGTCTTATAATACCGTTCCTGTAGCTGGCGGCCGAAAAGGATGTTTTCTCGGAGGGAATCATTCTGAATCCAGGCCTGCTGGGGGACGTAGGCCACTGAGCCCTAGGAGGCGCGTACAGAAGGCAGCAAGACAGAGAGCCTTGGTTAACAAGACGGCAACCAGCCCGCCTACCGGGAGGGCCCTACTTCCCAGGATACTCTCATCACACCCATTGTTTCAGCAGGGGGTAAACTGAGTCACGACAGCCTTGGATGCCAGAGCTGGGATCAGACCCCACGCTAAGTCAGTCAGGGATTCTAATATCAGGTATTCAAGAGTGGAAATCCACATTGGTGAGATTATAGCTTTGCGTTTACTAAGTATTCACCGAATGCCTCTAGCAGCAAACAAAACTCTGGTTTCTCAAGAATAAGAAGGCCCTGACATGATTTTTTTAAAAATTATTTCATTACAGTTATGCTAAATGCTAAGAGGGAAAAATATATGAGTCCTTCAAGAAGTCCTTTAAAGAGGGAGACCTAGTTTGGGTCATCGGGGAAGGATTCCTTGGGGACATTCCCTTGATGAAACGTAAGCAAGGACTTCAGTATCAAAATCATCAAGGACTTCAGTATCAAAATCATCTGGTTCAAAAGTTTAGTGTTCATTTCCATGTGATAAAGTGCCAAGAATGTGACGAGAATAAGGGCTACGGTGAGGGCATCTGTTTCCTGTATTTTAGTAAGAAAGTTTCAAACAAGGATGGACAGGTGAGGAGGATACGCTGGTGTGACAAACAGGAGGTGGAAGCACATTCCAGTCAGAGGGAACAGCATGGGCAAAGGTCCAGAGGCGAGAAGAACCTGGCCCATCCAAGGAACAGGAAGGCCAGTATGACTGGAACACCGTGTGAGGGGGAAGACGGGGAGGAACGAGCAGGAGAGTGGGGCCAGCTCACACCAGGCTAGGGGTCCTGGTGAGGAGTGTGGGCTTTACTGGAAGGGCAAGAGTGAAGATTCTTACCTAAGGGAATTCTAGAGGGACAAGGTTGGGAGTGGGACCCAGGTGTCCCCAATCTTAATCTCCACTCTCAGATAAATAACTGAACTGCTGACTCTAATACCCTAACTTACAAGAGGCCAAAAGGTCACAAAACCTCACCAAATAAAAACATTTGGAAAAAATTAATACTTTAAGCACATTTCTAGCATGCTCCTTCGCAGGGCAAAACAACCAGTTAGAAATCTGTCAACCCATCAAACCAAATACTCAGTGCACCCTCCCTCCACTTCTAGATCCATCATTTTTGAATTTAAAGGCTTTTGACTTTAAAACAGCGGTTCTCAACTGGGGGCAATTCTGCCCTCCAGGGGACATTTGACAGTGTCTGGACACTCTTGGTTATCACAATTGGAGGTTGTTACCAGCATCTAGTGGATAGAGGCCTGGAATGTTGCTTAACATCCTACAAAGCACAGCACGGCCCCCCACAGCAGAAAATCATCCAGCCTGAAAGGTCAATAGTGCTGCGGGGGTGGAAACTCATAAGGTGGATGGTTTGGAGGTTTTTTCCCATCAAGCGAGGTCTCACTGTTCCTTAATCTTACTTTAGTAACATGTACTTGAAAGCAGTGATGGGACATTTCTTAAAATAACAGCTAAATGTCGTTAGTTTAGATCCAACAATTATAACATGTACTTCTCTACTAATGCATACCCACTGAAAGGCCTCATATAAACAAAGGATTTTGTTCTCAAATAAAAACAGTTGCATAAACCAGCATTCCCAAGAGAAGATTCCGGGAGACATTACTTCTGGGGAGGCAAATAGTTGTTGAACAGATACTGAAGAGTACAGGCAAATACATCTGGGACACACTGGGTTAACCGAAGTTAAGTAAGTTTTCTTCTCCTTGCGGGACTTCTCAGAGGCTTTACTTTATTACTGTTATAATTTCCGAGAGGGAGGGAATCTGAGTTTGCAGTATCTCCCAAACTTGCTGGAGCCCAGAACTCTCTATTCCCCAAACAACTGCACGATGAGTTTGCTGTCGACCACGCTCTAGGAAATGCTGGGTTAACAAAACTTCGAGGCAAGCTTTCTACACCAGGGAAGTCCTTCATGGGGAATAAACTAAATGCAAAAATGAGGCTCTTGATTTCCAATGAGACTCATCTGTTCACTAAAGCAGCCTTTTAAATTCTCTCCTGAGGAATATTCCAACTTAGTTCAAAGTACTCTGTATATTTAAAAACCAATAAAAACTGTAGTCCTCCTTTTAATCCCACATTAAGAATCCAAGGAATGCTCAGAATTTAAAAAGTTCTCTTTAAAAAGAATTCTCTAAGAACATATCCCAGACACAAAAAATTTTAAGTTTTGCTACATTTATATAACAGAGATACACGGAGAGATCCATGTACAGAAAGAACAAGCCAGAAAGACTGGCGCTTTAAGAGAGACCAGGAGATGTACAGTGAGGGCCACAGATGGGGAGAGAATGAGAGACCGTGAGTGGACCAGGGAGCATCCATGTGTTTACTCAGTATTTACTGAGCGCCTACTACTTGCTGGGCACTATTCTCAGTGCTGGGATACAGCAGGAAATTAGGGTCATCAACTCTTGCCTTCCAGGGGGCCACAGAGAAGAGCAGAGAGAATGGGAGAGAAGGAGGGAGTTGCTCGCTGCTCTCGCTTCCTGCACAGGGGCCGTCTCGAAACAAAACACAGCACTGCGCTCGCCTCTCCCCTGAGGCCGGCAGCGCCCCGGTGGCCCCCCACCTTCCCGGTCCTCGTCCTACCTTGATAGCCACGTGCCCCTCCACCTTGTCCATCTCGGCCAGGAGTGCTGAGAGCAGAGATGACTTTCCACAGCCCACTTGGCCCACCACGGCCACCAAGGAACCTTCCGGAATGGAGAAGGTGATGCTGAAATGACACAAGGGCTCTGCCTCAGCCACGCCCTCGCCTGAACAGGTGGCAGCCCACCGCAGCTGGATGTCCCCCGAGTGGAGAGAGGCGGAAGGCAGGGCTGTTCCGAGCCCTGAAGGCCTGGAAATTATTCCCGCTGTTTCCCCTGCTAAGCTGAGCTCAGTGGCCGGTCTCAGCAGCCCGAGGTGTGTGAGGCCCCAGGCAGGCGCTGGGATGCAGAGGTGTCTCAGAGAAACCGAGGCAGCGGGAGACCCCCCTGGGGGAGGCGGGGTTGGGGGGGGGAGGTGAGGTTACAGTGAGGGAGCCGGACGGTGGAATATTAACAAAGCGGGTGCCCTGAGGGACAGACACCACAACGTGAACTCTGAGGGAAAAAGAAGGACGAGGCAGGGAGGAGTAAGGCTGGTCCTGAAGAGGTGGCAGGTAGCGGCCACACCCGAAGAGGCCAAGACTGGCGGTGCTAAGACGCTCACACCTCGTGGATGGGAGCCTTGGGGTCTGGAGGGGGTCCTGACGTGGGCGACTGAGTCTGCGAAACGGGTCTCACAGAGGGCGGTGCACCAAGTACAATAAGCTCAACGCTCCACCGGTGAGACTGCCCGTCGGAAGACATGGGGCCGTCACGTGCTGCCAAGTCGGGGCTGATTCCGTGCACCCAGGGAGGGGCAGGCACCCGAGCCCAGGGCCTCGCTGGGTTCACTTCCTTGGCTGCGCTTTTCAGCGGATGCGATCATGACTCAGCCTATTAGTGAAATGCTGTTAGAGTCTGTGGTCACTGTTTAGTGCTTGTAAAGCTGCTGCATGGTCCCACCGATTACGCTTTTGTTCCTGCGCTGAGCAGAGAATGGACAATGGGGCCACAACAGAATGCGAAGCCCAGTGAGGCAGGTCCTGTGACTGTCCAGGTGGGAATGGAATGTTGTTACAGGCTGAGGAAAGGTTTGGATTGGGAAAGGTTTTGGGAGTTCAAGGGTAGGAGTGGGGCGTGGGTGACTAGAACGAGAAGGCAAGAGAGACAAAGAGACAAGACAGAAAAGCTAAAATTGAAGCAGGCAGGAGTTAAGTTAGACATAAGGAAGAACTTCCTAAGCATGCAGTCCCACCGGGGGTTTTCAAGGGAGGGGATACAAAGATTCTTTTCTTTAGAGAGTTTGTCCCCCCACCCCCATTTCCTGAGTTAATACACAGCAATAACTGGGCACCCAGTGAGGGGATAATTGTTAAGGGGCTCGGGGGATAAATGTGGTCCCTACAAAGGTCCCTCTGGCCCTGTGTTTTGGGGACTCCTCTGGGGAAGCCTCACAGAGGCACCAAGCAAGGCCTCCCCCGTTCAGAAAGGAGTAAGAGGCAGTTGACCAGTGGCCTGGAGAACCACGTCAACTCCCCGGACACCGTGTGCTTTGGGAAAATAAGGGCTGGGTGGGGAGGATCCCAGACGGGGAGATGACAAGAAAGGGTGACTCAGGTAGCCGGGAACCTTGGAAGGGATGGAGAAGAGCGATTCCATCCCGACAGCAAATCCCTGCTGACAAGAATTCCTTTCAGCTGACCCAGGCCTGTCTGCCACCACCTGCAGCATCACTGCCTCAGACCCAACCTGGCCAATCCGTGTGCTGTCTCTTCTGGCCCTTGACTGGCTCAGGGAGGGGCACATGACCCAATCTGGACAAGTAAGAGGCAGGTGAGTCTCCAGCCCAGGTAAGAGGTACCCTCCTGGCTGATGGGGGCTATTTGCCATCATGAAGGGAGAGGCAGCTTGAGAAGGAAGCAGCACAGAGGGAAACTGAAAAAAGACAAGATGGAGAGGATCCTGATGGCACTGAGTCCCTGGATCACGCTGTACCTGAGAGTGGATCTCAGTGATGCAACTCCAAAATTTCTGTTTGTTGCCTAAGCCTATCTGGGCAGTGTTTCTGTCATTTACAATCCAAGGGAACCCTCTGTGCCAGCCAACTCTCACCTGCTCCTTCCTGCAGCCCAAGCAGGTATGACTGGACCTATTTCCCAGATGGGTAAACTGAGGCTCAGAAAGGCAAAGTGGTCTATTCAGTGTCACTGAGCTACAGTGTGGCTGGCATTCACACCCACATTTGACTAGCGCCTCATGGCTCTCTCCACATGCTGGCTTACCCACTTAGCGTCGGAGGGTCGCCCCTGGCCCACGTGAACGTGGCATTCTTCACAGTGATGCTGTTTGCGCCCCCGCCTGAAAAGCACCAGCAACAACATGTCAGGCAAAGACGGAAGTCCCGAGACTGAGCATCAGCGGGCTCTCACTTTTTTTTTTTTTCTAATCTTTGTTCGATACCAGATACTAGACACTTGCACCAGGGCATTATCTCGTTACATCACTCCTCGTTTCTAAAGAACCCCAACCAGACCCACAAAGCAGACAGAAACCACAACAGGGTTCTGCCCTGAATGCCAGGAGGTCGCACCATCCAGATGCCCATCTGGCAGAGGTGGGGGGACCCCCTGGGGTTTACTCAAGGCTCCAGGGCCTCCCTCACCTCATCTTGGGAGGATTGGGCAGCTCTGGCTGGGGGGCTGAGCAGAAGGCAAGGTCAACGGGGAACAAGCAGTTCTCTGCATCAGGCTGGCACTTGGCTGTTGGCCCTCACCACACCCTCGGCCCTCCCTTTATGTTCAAGGTGGAGTCCTGGGCCAAAGCACCTGGACTGTAGGTCTGTCTCCTAACGCCTGTCTCTGCATCCCCTCTCCCGCCCTGCTCACATCACAGCAGGTCAATCTTTCTGAAAAACCAGTCACATACACCATGAAAAAGCAGGCTGTGCAACAGGACGTGGGGGCATCACGGGGAGGGAAGAACGGTAAGACAAAGGCGGCTTTCTACATCCAACAGCGGCTCCGGATTCTAAGCTCCCGGCCCCTCTGTCTTCACTTACTTTCCCTCCCCTTCCTGTCCTTTGACGTCATGTCCCTCACTTAAAAAAACAACTTCTGACTCTTCATTATTAGCTTCCTTAAAACCACCTAGAGATAAGACGGGCGTGTTTTTAAGCTCTCAAAGAAAGAGAGAAATTCCCCTGCACACCAAAGAAACAAAAAGCCCTGCCGAGAGGCAGTTACTGGTTAACCTGACCTTCCCTCCTTCACCCGGGCCCCGCCCCCTGCCCCTGTGGGACACAGAACAAGGAGGAAATGGGAAGGTGCTATTTAAGTACTTTAAGGAAAGCCACTTGAGTCAGACAAGCTAGAAAACCACCAGACGTGGCTGGGAGCTGCCAAGGTGGCCCCGTCTGACACCCACAGAGTGTGGATAAACATCTCAAAAAGTCAACCAGCCTAGGAAGGGGGTGCTGAGGCCTGGACCGCACCAGAAGGCCTGAGGGTTTTCCAGTAGGACACCTGGCAGGGAGCTGGGAGCAGCTGCAGGAACCTGAAACCTCCATGGGCTGTCCCAAATGTCAGCCCTGTGTTATGCAAAGAAATGTGACCCAGGAGGAAATGGCACGAGACCATCTACAGGGTAGTGGGGGAGACTAGGTCCTCGGGATGGCACAAACCGATGATCAAAGGCCAGGGAGGCTGGGAAGAAGATTCCAGCATCTCGTGAGTAGGGGTTCTCAACTGGGGGCAACTGTGCCCCCCTCCAACAGATATCATGTCTGGAGACAGTTCTGGTTTTTCAGAATTGGGGTGGGTACTACCGAGATCTAGCAGGCCGAGGCCATGCATGCTGCTCAGCACCCCCTAATGCTCAGGACGGCCCCCAGGGCAAAGAACGCTCGGGTCTCCAGTGTCAGTAGAGCCAAGGCTGTGGAACTGGCCCTCGAGGGTTGGGTTGACAATGTCCCAGACCCCTTCTCTCTCACACTAGGGAAGTCACGGCCACCACATCTGGGGGGCAGGCACTGCGCTCAGTGTTGGACACACCACCGGAGAGATCTGAAAGCCCACAAGGTGCCAGGCACTGCTCAGACCTTTTAACCAGTGCATACACACATTTGCTCCTCTGACCGTATCTACTGGGCTCTCCAATCCCCGTGCGGCCACTGCCTAGCTGAACAGCCTTGGACAAGTTACTTAACTTCTCTGGGCCTCACTGTCCTCGTCGGTAAAGCAGGACTGATAAGAATGAGATGGACCCCAAACACTGTGGTGCTAGGCGCATAGTTAAGTGCTCAGTAAATCTCTGTAGGGCAACACTATACAGTGGGTAAGAGCAGATCCCAATAACTGGCTGTGGGTGTGAATCCTGCCTCCGCTTATTAGCTGTGTGATCTCAGGCAAGTGACTTAGGCCGGTTTCCCCATCCGTAAAGGTTTCCACAGCCCCTCTGTGTGCTATGCTTAGCATGGACGTCCTTAAAACACAACACGCATGACGGAAGTGTCGTTTAAGTGAAAAGTAGTCACTGCTGGTCATGCATTAATATTTACTATCGGGGCGCCTGGGTGGCTCAGTTGGTTAAGTGACTGCCTTCGGCTCAGGTCATGATCCCGGAGTCCTGGGATCGAGTCCCGCATCGGGGTCCCGGCTCGTCGGAGAGCCTGCTTCTCCCTCTGACCCTATCCCCTCTCATGCTGTTTCTCTCTCTCTCTCTCTCAAATAAATAAATAAATAAAATCTTTAAAAAAAAAAAATATTTACTATCAAGTGCTTGGAGACATAACTGGGAATCCAAGATCCCCACTCAGGGAGGCTGACTGGGAAAGGATAAATTAATAAGCTACAAAAGAAAGAAGCCTACCAATAAAAATCCACATAACACCCTGACAAAGAAAGGCACCTTCATTCCCATTACCCAGATAGGGAAACTGAGGCTCAGAGCAGGCAAGTGACCCGCCCAAGCACACAGAACTGGTGGGTTGGAGCTGGTCAGTCTCCAACGTCCTTGTTGTGCTTGCCCATCTACCCAGAACAGAGTCAAGATCTGAGCCCTGGAACGGGCCCCTCGATGGGAGGCCTCACCCCCTGGCTGCCTCTCAGCGGGAAAGCACCAAGAAAACAGAAGTTGAAGTTCACCCGCCTGGGATGTGCAAGATAAGGCCCGACGCCCACCCAGCACTGCAGGGCTCCTGTTCCCAGGGGCCTCACAGCCCAACCCGAGGGGAACTTTCATGGCACAGAGGGACCCGATGCACACACCGTCCTTGACAGGCCTTCGCTCGATGCTGTCAGGCTCCAGCTCCTCGTGAGACAGAAAGATCCTGAGGCGTTTGAGGGAGACACTCGCCTACACAGAAAGCAATCGCAGGGTGCAGTTATTTTTAAAAGTATTTTTGCAAAAAAACAGACCGAGGCTAACTTGCGGTGGTTTCCCCTGGGTGTCGAGGGGCCCACATCCTCCCTCATCTCTGGCGGCTCTGCGTTTCCTACAAGAGTGTGCCTCAGAAGGAGAACCAGAACAGGTTTTGGTTCTTGTTTGTTCTCCTTTCAAAGCCCACCACCACAGGTATTAAAAAAGAGGGTAGGGGGATTGTCCTAGATGACAAGGGACTTCAGAAACAATAACCAAACGCGGTGGCCCCGTGTAAGGGTACAAGCTTGCAACCAGGGGAGAAAGAAGTCCTGGAGATATACTGCAGGGTGATTACGATCAACACGCTGTGAGCTGGCTAAGAGATGGCATCTTCATGGTTCCCAACAGAAAAAGGAAACAAAAATCACGTAATGTGACAGAGGCGTGAGCTGACACTCCTGTGGTCATTCTTTGGCCACACACGGACACCTTAAATTTACAAAATGTTCTATATCGATTCTATCTCATAAAAGTAAACTGAGAAAAAAAAACCCCACAAAACAACAGCAAAGAAATGCATGCTGAAATATTTATGGGTGAAATGTCAAGAGGTCTCGGATTTGCTGTAAAATTCTCCAGGGGCGCCAGGCTGGTTCCACTGGTGGAGCATGTGACTCTTGATCTCGAGGTGATGAGTTTGAGCCCCAAGTTGCATGTGGAGAGTACTTAAAAATAAAAAAGGCTTAAAACAAAAGAAAGGAGTGAAGGAAGGAAAGAAGGAAAGGAAGCGGGGGAGGGGAAGACAGAAAAAGGATTCGATGAGCCAAGCGCAGCAAAATGTCGAATCTGGGTGAATGCTACATGGAGTCATTATTATACTGTTTGTTCTCTCCCTACGTCTGTATACATTTGAATTTTTTCGTAACAAAAAGGAATTTTATTTGCTCATTTATTTTTTTTTAATGAAAGCATACAAGCAGAGTTGTACAACCAAATCTTAAGGTTCTTTTGTCTGTGTGGCTGAAAATCGGGTTCTCAGTATGAATGCGTTCAAATGCTGGGGAGAAAAATATGAGAAAATACCACCAGTTGGAAAGTGTAGGAGCTTCACATAGAGTAAAAGTGTGACTGAGCAGCTAGTTTCCTCACCTTGCAGGGTCACTGCTGTGGACTTCAGGATTTCTGGGGGGTCTAGGTAGGGGTTTTTCCAATGGTGGGTTGAGGCCTGTCAGTGGGTTGTGAAGTCAGTTGAGTAAGCCAAGAGATGCAGTGTTGAAAAAGTAGAGTAAGCTAGAGCAGGGTCGAACAGACCGCATCAGAATGGGACAGGATGAATATTTCAGAACATTACAGAGATCAGGGAAGCCTGCTTGCATGCAGTCTTTGTTTTGTACGTTCAAGCCTGAGTTCCTTGTCAAGAAGTCACATGTAGGGGCGCCTGGGTGGCTCAGTCGTTAAGCGTCTGCCTTTGGCTCAGGTCATGGTCCCAGCATCCTGGGATCGAGCCCCGCATCGGGCTCCCCGCTCGGCGGGAAGCCTGCTTCTCCCTCTCCCACTCCCCCTGCTTGTGTTCCCTCTCTCGCTGTGTCTCTGTCAAATAAATAAATAAAATCTTAAAAAAAAAAAAAAAAAAGAAGTCACATGTATTCCTTTCTTTGGGGCATGACCAAAATAGCGAGAAAGCCACCACTGTGAGCCTCGTCCAGCCGACTGGGCACAGTGGGATGGGTAATGCCGAGGGAGCTGTATGGAGGGGGACCTGTATGCCCTTTTACTTCCTTTCCGCAGAGGACCCCTCCCTCAGGCTCCTCCAGCCCCGCCTGTACCTGCACGATGCTGCTGATGACCATGGGGAGAATATTCAGGGGAAATCGGAGGATGTTGAATAAGGCCAAGGACACGAAAGCTTTCTGGGCATCCAGGATGTTGTTCTTGTCGATGGTCACGTAGACAGCAAAGGTAGACAGGGCCACCTGTAAGCAGAGCGTCCAGCACTGACTTGTGTCCCTGCATCAGACACAACCGTGGGAGCAGCTGCACGCCCCCCGCCGACCCTCCACAGTGTGTTCGAGCCTGCCCCACAACAGACGGCTGGAGGCCGCGGGAAACGCCTAAGGCAGTATCCAGCACACAGCAGATGCTCACTAAACACCCAAAGAATGAACCAGATAAATGAGCGGCCAGGAGCTGCAAGTCCTGGCCTCTGCACCAACATTCTCCAAGGTTGGTGCAGACACTGGACAGACATTCTGGGGATCCCTCACCACCACCCAGCGGAATCCCACCTCCGGGCCTTTGCCCCTGCAGTTTCTCTGCCTGAAACAACCTTCCCATCCGGACGGTGGCCTGGTTCCTCCCTCTGACCCTTCGGAGTGGCTGCCCTACCTCTCTACCCCAAACAACCCTGCTCTTGCTCTCTATCCTTTTATCCTGGCTTATTTTTCTTCACAGCAACTATCACGGCCTTTTACTGCCATACTGGACATATTGACTGTCTCTCTCCTGCAGACAACAGAAGCTCTGCAAAGGCAGGGACTTGGTTTTGTACCCAGCAGTATCCTCAGGCCTCGAACAATCCCTGGCACATAGGAACACCTTGGGCAAGTTACCTCCTCTCCCCATGCCTCACATGTCTCATCCGTGAAATTTGGGGGTGGAGGTGGACGGTTAATGGCACTATTTAAAATTCCTTCCAGCTCACAGAATATATGATTTTATACCCCCAGGAAAGGAACATTGAAAGAAAAAAAAAAACGGCAAGCAAAAACTAACAGGCAAAGGTACCGCCTTCCTCACCAAGTCAGACTTGCATTAAGCCCTGCAGTGGTTCCTGGGACTTAACTACGCAGGCTCCCAGCCGACCGGAATTTGGGTTCAGATGTTTGAGGGAGCAGCTCCTCTCCTCCCTTGCCAGGAGAAATGGAGGACACTCTCAGTAATCCAGGGCTGCGCTGCTCAGCTTGGGAGGAGGCAGGAGAGTAACAGGTGGATTCCCGTGCCTCTCCTATATTGCTGGGGACAGCAGGTGCCAGGTGTCGCCAGACGAGGCTAGTAACACACGTCCCACAAGATCACCCAGAACATGCTATCAGAAGCAATCTGGACAACCCTGGACCCCGACAGATGCACACAAGTCCCCGCCCCCCCATTAGCCCCAGGATCCCAGAGCCATTAAAGGCTTTCCCTGCAGGAAAAAAAAAAAAAAAATCAACACAAAACTGCCCAGGTCCTGCCTTTCTGAGCTCAGAGCAGCATGTCCAGAAGTCAGGATATTGGTGTCTGAGCCCTGCCTTCGGTGTGGCTGTGGCCCAGTGCATTTGCAGGGTCAGAGTCACCTCATTTCCTTGTTACCTACTGGAAGGTAACAGCTTAAAAATTAAAACCAACAGCTCTGCCGCATGTCAGCTCTATGACCCTGGGCACGTCACCTCCCCTCTCCAAGCAGGCCTCTGCTTTCCTACCTACAAAATGCGAATCAGGATATACCTTCACAGGGCTGTTGGCAGCAAGAAATCAGGCACTCATGCAAAGTGCTTATTAGCACACTGCCCGGGGCACAGCAAAATGCAATATATAGCAGCTATCTTTATTTCTGGCTATAGGACTCAGTCCAAACTCCTTGGTCCATTCTTCCAAAGAATCTATTAACTGGGTCCCAAGACCAAGGCACTGCGGAGTAGAGCTGGTTCCTTTCTGGTTCTGATGTTAACAAGCTGGATGACGCACCAGCCTCTCGTCTAAAGATGTTCTTACTCAGAACACCCTAAACACATCCACACAAAGGAACAGTATTCAGCCATAAAAAGGAGTGCAGCATGGACACCTGCTATGACATGGATGACCCTTGAAAACATGACGCTCAGTGAGAGAGAAGCCAGAACACACACAAAAAACCACATATTGTGTGAGTCCGATTAATATGATACGTCCAGAACAGGCCAATCCACGGGGACAGAAAGCAGATGAGTGTGTGCCTAGGCTGGGGGAATGGGGAGTGACCATCAATGATTAGAAGGCTTCCCTTTGGGATGATGGGAATGTTCTGAAATTAGATAGTGTTGATGGTTGCACAACCTTGTGAACATACTAAACACCACTGGGTTATACACCTTAAAATGGTAAATTATAGCTCAGTAAAAAGCGTAAGAACAAAAAACCCCACCTCTCTAAAGTCAGTCCATTTCACTTCGTACAGAAGTCAAAGTCTTGACCCCAGGCCCAGGGCCTACCTGGGTTGTAAAATCCCTTCCCTGTAACTTGCCTGACCTCCTCTCCTACCATTCTCCCCCCAGCTCCTTCTATTCCAGCCCCACCGGCCTCCACAGTTATTCCCTCTATGGGGCGGGCACTGTCCTGCCACAGGGTCTTTGCACATGCTCCTCCCACTCCCTGATGGAAGCCCTCCCCTCCACTGGGTCTTTACTCAAGTGTCACCTCCTCAGTGAGGCCTTCATCTAGAGGCCTTCATCTACCCTATTTAAAACTGCAAGCCCTCCCTAACACCGTGGCCCGAATCTTTTTTCTTTTCCCTAGCACTTACGACCATTTAGTATACTATATGGAGTATTTATCATGTCTACTGTGGATCACCTGTCTCTCCCAATTAGAATGAATGACCACTCCATGAGGCCAATGGATCGTAGCCAGATACTCAGTAAATAGTTGTGGATGGATGGATAGATGGATAGATGGACAGGTGAACAGATGGGTGGGTAGGGGCTGGATGTGCCTGGGGGCAGAAGAGCATACACTCAGAGGTGTCTCCTCAGCAGTGGGGAAAACCAGGCCTCAGGTAACTCGCCACCAGAGCACACCAGCCCCCCAAGCGCCATCATCGGGGCGGCGGCTGGCAACACAGAGCACGTGGCCCATCAGTTCCACAGCCCTGGCTTCTCCAGGAAGTGGAGGCCATTCTTCATCAAAGGTTAACTGAGCACCTACTGTGTACCAGCACTGTGCACTGAGCAGTAACGCAGGCTTGGTGTTCCTGAGACTCATGGTCTAGGGGAAACAGGTACTAAGTGAGTTCTCTTCAGCAGGGCGTATTTGGACATGGGTGGAGGTAAGTGGGGTCAGCCGAAAGACTGGGGCTGTAGGTAAGTGTGTGTGTGTGTGTGTGCGCGCACGCGCGCGCGTGTGTGTGTGTCATTCCCTCTGGAACACCTGGATCCAGCCATGCCTGAAATCCCAGTCATGCTCAAAACCAGCAATTTCCTACACTTTTCAGTTTTGGGACTCAAAAATCCCACTTTCTTTTTTTTAATCTAGTCAATTTGAGTGAGGTTTCTGCCAATTGCAACACAGTTCCTGATTAACACAGTTTATTCAAATCTTTTACTCACTCAGTTATTCCCCTAGATTACATTTACTGAATGTGCACCATTTGCCAAGTTCCCTGTTCTAGGAATACCAAAAAAAAAAAGATAAGGTCCACATATGATCTAATCAGCAGAGAAGTACACAATGGATATTTACCATATGGAATGATAATTCTCCTAACCAAGGAAGATAAGGGTAAGCAGAAGATGAGAAGCTCACAAATCTTCCAAGACTCAAAATGCTAAATATTGACGGCTGCCTGGGGATACTATTTTAGGAAACTGCATTACGTGTACATGATAGATGCCAGGCTCTGTATTTCAGAAAAACAATCCCATCAATCCCGCCAAAATGGCATCCCCACTCTTGTCTGACCTCCCCGGGCCTCTGTCTTCCATCACACCTACCGGTGGGTAAACACCTCATCACCCTTGAAGCGCAGGAATTCGCCAGTGGAAAGAACATACAAACACCTTTCAAGGGAATCAAAGGCTACATATTTTATCCTAATGTAGTCAGAGGCTTTGGTGTCTCGGCCAGGGCCGAGGTCCCCAAGTGGCACCCAGGCTCATCTGTTTCATGCCAAACAGCTTAACAAACTCCATCTCTGGAAGCCCGTTGCCCCTGCCCTCCCCTCCCCCCATACTGAGTGGCAAATTCAAGGTCAAGAAAAGCTGTCACGCTCTTAAGCATCTCTTGCCATGGCCTCCTAATGGAGACCAGGGCAGGAGATGTTAACTGAAGGGCCACACATTCAGGTGACAAGCTAGAAACTGGACACTTAGAGGACCCAATGTGCAGAGCCAGGGGTTATGGGAAAAGGTCCCCCCACTCCAAGTGTAATACAACCCAAGTATTAAACCCTGTCACTTTGTCCCTCTGGCTGCAGAGCTTTTCCTATCAGAAAAAATGCAATTCAAAATGCTTCGGACTTCTGTATGATTTGCCATCATGTGTGTCAAAGTAAATAAAACAGAACATAAGTTTAGTTACATTGATGATGGATAGTCACTGTTATGCTGCTGTATGTGCAGGCTTTCCCTGGAAATACGCAGAAGAAACTGGTACAGAGAGAGAAGCTAGGTGACAGAGGTCTGAGGACGAAGACAGACCTGCGGTTCTCAACTGGAGGGACACCTGGCAATGTCTGGAGACACTTCTGATTGTCCCAACTGGGGAGGCGTGGTGGGGGGCAGTGGGAAGAGGTGCCACTTGGCCTCCGTTGGGTTGAGTCCGCAGAGTCTGCTAAACACCCTATAACGCACAGGACAGCAACCCCGCCAACAAAGAAACAAAGAACGCACAGGACAGCAACCCCGCCAACAAAGAAACAAAGAATTATCGGGTCCCAAAGGGCAACAGTGCCAAGGTTGAGAAACCCTGTCCTAGACTTTTTGGTATAGCTTTAACTAGTTTTACCACGGGAATGCATCATTTTTTTTTTTTAAAGATTTTATTTATTTATTCATGAGAGATAGAGAGAGAGAGGCAGAGGGAGAAGCAGGCTCCCCGCGGAGCGGAGAGCCCGATGCGGGACTCGATCCCAGGACCCTGGGATCATGACCTGAGCCGAAGGCAGATGCTTAACCGACTGAGCCACCCAGCTGTCCCAAGGGAATGCATCATTATTTTTTAAATAAAATGTATCACACATACAAAGGAGAACAGTTAACAGTTCTAAACACACTGAGATTATTTATTTATTTTAAAAATTTTATTTATTTATTTATTTGAGAGAAAAAGAGAGAGACAGAGAAACAGCATGAGAGGGGAGAGTCAGAGGGAGAAGCAGGCTCCCCACTGAGCCAGGAGCCCGATGCGGGACTCGATTCCAGGACCCTGGGATGATGACCCGAGCCGAAGGCAGATGCTTAACCGACTGAGCCACCCAGGTGTCCCAAGGGAATGCATCATTATTTTTTAAATAAAATGTATCACACATACAAAGGAGAATAGTTAACAGTTCTAAACACACTGAGATTATTTATTTATTTATTTTAAAAATGTTATTTATTTATTTGAGAGAAAAAGAGAGAGACAGAGAAACAGCATGAGAGGGGAGAGGGTCAGAGGGAGAAGCAGGCTCCCCACTGAGCCAGGAGCCCGATGCGGGACTTAATCCCAGGACTCCAGGATCATGACCTGAGCCGAAGGCAGTTGCTTAACCAACTGAGCCACCCAGGCGCCCCACACTGAGATTATTTAACAGTTTAGAGGAAGATAATCAAATGAACACTCTACATAACTACCATCCAGTCTTCTGATACTTTTTACTTCTAAAAATCAAAGAAAGCCATCAGAGATCTGGGGAAAGTTGGGGAGACCAGAGTGTCCTCAGAGAACGAGCTGGCGGAACCTTCTAGCCCCGAACACTGAAGTATGTGACACGGAAAGGATCTAAGAGAACTCAGAGTCCCAGACCTGCTAAAAGATGTCACTTCATGTACCAGCTCCAGTCAGCTGACAGGGGTCACCGGGAGGGCGGCTTGAACAGAACTCGGTGGCAGAAAACCCACAGCAGGTTGTGGATGTCTAGTGCGGGCATGGGAGCAGGGGGCAGGCAGGGGCCTATGGGACACGCCCGTGGCCCAACCCTTCCATGTTCCATACATGAGAACCCAGAGGCAGGGAGGTGGACTGACTGGCCTCAGGTCACTCTGTGAGCTGGCAGCCAAGTTCAGCAGGCACCCGACTCTAAACCAGGCGTCCACACCTGTTTATGTCCAGCCCATAGGCTTAGAATACTTTTACATAAGTATTTTTTTTAAATATCAGTATTTTATGACACAGGAAGCTTATATGAAATTCAAATTTCAGTATCTATAGAGAAATTTTTACAGGAAAGTAGCTATACCCGTTCACGTGTACATTATGTACGGCCACACTGGCAGGAAAGAAGGGACGCAAAACAGAACGTATGGCCCAGAACGTCTACAATGTTCACTAGTTGGTCCTTGGGAGACAAGGTTCACTCACTTCTGCTTTTTGCCAGTGTTTCTCAAACACTTTAGAGGAAAGGGACAGACGGAAGGGAAGACAATATACTTTTCATCTGATGACTTTCTATATGGTTTCAATTTTTTTTTTTTTACAACGAATGACAAATATTTGTTGAGCCCCTACTATGCGCTATTTTAGGCACTGAGGGTATGGCAGTGAACAGAGAAGACAAAATCCTTGCCTTCCTGGAGCTGCCTTTCTAGTGGAAACAGACAGACAGAAAGTCCATTTCAAAATGTGTCTGGCACCTGCCAAATCCCTGGCTTGTGACAGTCGGCAACAGATCAGAAGCGGACACCGTAATGTCACTCCACTATGGCACCAAGAGCATAGTTTAGTTCTGCTGGTGTGTTTTTCTTACCAAGACTTTCTCCACGAAGGAAGCAGAGGGACCTGCTTAACCTTCCGGAACAAATTTCTTATCTCATTGTGAACCTATAAACAAGCAGTTCCTGGAACTGGCTACTTGTGAGAGCTACTAAGTGCTGTGAATAAAATAAAGTGTGGGGGGCGGGGGTGGCCATTTTTCAAAAGAGAAGGCCTTGCTGAACTTGTGACCTTTTGAACATATTCAGGTATGAAAACACACCAAAACCCCCAATGAGGTAGGCCAGGGTGAATGTGGCTTCACTCACCAGGAAAGGTGTGCAGACCCAAGTGAAGGTTCCCACAGCCGCCAGGTAGGCCGATTTCTTGAGCACCTTCAGCTCCTCCTGCCTGATGGCCAGCACCTTGTCCTTGAAGGCCAGTTCCCAGGCGTAAAGCTTGAGCACTTTGATCCCGTTGAGAATCTCATTCATCAGCTTAATCCGATTGTCTTTGCTCTTCATGTGTGCCACCTTCAGAGACAAGAGCAGTCAACACCACAGCGAGGGGGGGACCTGCTTCTGGCCCTGGCAGCAGGCCCACACACAGCATCCCCATTGGAAAGGGGGGCCTTCCAAAGGGTGGGAAAGCCGACCCTGAAATCCCTGAGATTGACCTTGAGAGCACCAGAGACCCTTTTACCAAGAGAAAAAACCTGCTTTGGATCACGTGAAGTGGGACGTGGAGACCCCTATTAAATTTAGATTTGAGAAGCAGAAACAAGAACAACCCTGCAGGTGTCCAGGGAAGGGGGGCAGGGACCCTACTCTACTGATCCAAACACAAGACAGGTATCGATGCTGGGGATTTTTTTGTTTTTTTTCTTCCCCGCTCCGTTTTCTTAGTTTCTTTACTGAGCCATACTGCCCGTTAAACAGCATCCAGCACTTTCCAGATGCCGAGCACTTTTCTAAGCATTGGACACACATCTAGCTACTTCGTGCTCCCAAGACCCTATCACTGAGGGCTCTGGTCATTCCTGGTCACGGATGAGGATGCTTTTTAAGTCCCGTCAGATCAAAGCCAGAGACTGATGATGTTTCAAAAGTGAGCCACTCAGGGAAGCCTACATAGCATCAGGAGGACGAAAGGTGACAGGGCCCTTCCCTGCCTAACCTCCTCCCACCTGTACCTGCTGAGGCCTCCTCATTCCAAGAGGCCCACGCCCTGGGACTCATCTCCCCTCCTGCATCCTCAGTGCAGCTCAGTGCTCTCATTTGCAATTCCACAGGCACATCATAAATAGCCAGCAACAGGGGAGCAGAAAAATAAACTCTGGCCCCGCTCCGTTATGGACTATTTGGTGCCAGTCCAAGAGCATGAAGTCAGATTATACGGAAAGATCCCTGAGACATAGTGTCAAATGGTAAGACCAGGCTGCCAAATGGGCCCATGCGTATAAAAATGTACATGGTGGTAACACCACAAAGAAACAAACCTAACTGTAAAATCAGATCTCTCTATAAATACACAGAAAGTTCTAAAAGGGTCTGCTTCAGCATGCTCACTGGCATGGAGACGATAGGGAAGGGGATATCCCCTTTTAATCTATACTCTTTTCTATCAACAGAACATGTTTTATGAGGAGAAGGCATGAGCTCTGGTACTTGGCTATTTAAAAACTTAAACAGTACAAAACACTTCTGAAAATAGTTGGACACTGCGCCTAGCAAAAGGTAAGAGGTGAAAAAAGTCAGGGAGTAATTTTTACTCAACTCTCGAAAATGCATAGGAAACACATAAATGACTGAATTCTGTGGGAGATAAGGAATTTCTCAGAGGCTCACAGATGTGCTTTTGGTCACTGGCCTAGGAGGTCTAGCTTTTTCAGGAACTCTCAACCTTGGCAGTCCATCGGACTCACCCAGGAAGCTTTAAAAACGGATGCCCAGACGAAGTGAACCAGAATCCCAGAAATGGAGCCCAGGTATCAGCATTTAGGAAAGCTCCTCAGGGATTTCCAACAGGCATGGAGGGCAGAGAACCTCCGGGGCCTGCGCAGAAAGAACTTAGCTAAAACCCAAATGGAAAGGCCCCGACAAGAGCCCAGTTTGGGGCCCTACGGAAACAGACACCTTACCTGGTAGGTCTTGGTCTTCATGGCCATCACGGCATTGAGGGGAACCATGAGGATCATCACAGCCACCCCGGCCAGGACGGATGGGCCCAGGTTCTAGGGAAGAAAGAGAACAGAGGCCTTCAACAGGGGGCTTCCCTGGCTGAGCCACCCCAGCGATCCTGCAGACCTGGCTGCTCGTCTTCATGGCAGCTGTGTCACCCTTACCCAGCGACGGGCTGTTAAGAATATTTGGATTTATTCGTGAGCATCTCTTGGGGTCCCACAACCCCTTTAAGAACACGAAGGGGCCAGGTGAGTTTCGGAAATTAGAACTTTAGAAAGGTGGGGCGCCTGGGTGGCTCAGTCAGTTGAGCCTCCAACTCTTGATTTCAGCTCAGGTCATGATCTCGGGGTCCTGGGATCGAGCCCCATGTGGGGCTCCCCACTCAGCAGGGAGTCTGCTTGTCTCCCTCTTCCTCTGCCCCTCGCCCTGCTCTCATGCTTTCTTTCTCTGAAATAATTTTTTTTTTTTTAAAGAACTTCAGAAAAGTAATAAGGCATTGAATAGAAAAGAGTTAACACAGCCAGCCTGACAGTTTATCTTGTTTGAAGGCCTGCTTACAAATTTGGCCCTTGGCTGGCATCTGGGAGCTTGGATTTAGGGAGGGCTCCCATCATTCTCAGAACTGGCAGGAGTGGTTCATTGGGCCTCATCTCTTTGTATAAATGATATGGTTTATGCTGAACCCCCCCTTTGTCTTCTGGGAGTCTAGAAGTCTGGTATGTGCCAGGCAGAGGCTACCTGTGTCACCAACCCCCAATAAAAACCCTGGGCCTTGGGTCTCTATCAAGCTTCCCTGGCTAACAACATTTCACACGTTGTCAGAACTTGTTGCTAGGGAATTAAGTGCATCCTGTATGAGTCCATTGGGAGAGGACTCTTGAAGTCTGTACCTGCTTCCCCCTGATCCCTCCCCACCGTGTCTTTACCCTTTGCTTTTCCTGCTGTCATAAATTAAAGCCATGAGTCCTCCTAGCAACTCATCAACCAGGCGTGGTCTTTGGGACTGCTGACAGAGGTGTGGCCATATATTGCTTTACATGCCCCCTGGGGCCCTAGCACAGCACTCCATCATCAAAGGTACTGATTTCTCAGCACCAAAATAGGAGTATTCACACTGAGAAGATAATCAAGATCATAAATACTTCCCATTAGTTCAGGTCACGTCAGGTTATGGCACCACGTGAGTTAAGGAAAACTTCCAGAGCTTCTGCATTTGGGGATTTGTAGATAAGAGGTTGTAGAAGTGTTCTATTATCCCAACTGCAGATAAGAAAACTACCCAAGAGAGGTTAAGAGGCCAAGATAAGATACAGATCTCCATCTTTTAATTTTGACACCTAAAAAGAGACACCTTGAAAAACTGGCCCAGGACATGTACCCAGCGGATACACATGGATGGAACTATAGGGTAATGTGATTTTTTTCTCCCCCTTTAAGCATTTGGAAAACCAGGAGTGCTCATCTCTTCCAAGTCATCACCCACAGGGGCACCAGTCCTAGTCTCCCGAAAAATGCTGCCATTGCTCATAATGGTTTCTGCGAAGTATCTCCACCCAGTGACGATTTATCCACCTTGGAAAATGAAGGAAATTTCTACCAACAATTTAAAGCATTCAGAATGAACTCTGAAAGCAAATAGTATTTAAAAGATACTTTAAATACGACACCATGTGCTGTTCTATGAACGTAACCTGCACTGCTTCACTCCTTCATCCCAACATCCCTATGATGAGAAGTACCATTACCACCACCAATTTGCTGATGAGGACACACTGAGACTTAGCGACATTAAGTGATACGGTCACAAACCTAATCAGTGGAAGAGGCAAGATTTGAACCCAGGCAGTCTCATCGCTGAGCCCACACCACTATCACTATCCTATACTGTGGTTTTGATGGTCACACAGAGATATCCTATTTTCTATCCAAACCAGTGGTTCCCAAACAGGGAAGAACTGCTCCCGGGGTCATCAGGCAATGTCTGGAGACATCCGGGTCACAATTGGCCAGGGGGAGGGAGGGTGGGGGTTGTGTTCTTGATATCAGTGTGAATATACCGGGGACACTGCTAAACGTCCTGCAGTGCACAGGACAGCCCCCCAACAACAAAAAACTATCTGACTCCAAAGGTCAGTAATACACTCAGCAACCCTCATCTAAAACAAAACAATGTTCTTAATGGTTCATAAATCAACCCTGGAGGCCGATTCTAAAAGAAGTGTTCCAAAAATATTTCACCCGTGGCTGAAATTTCTGGGGAAGTGGATACCCCAGGATGTCAGCCCCAAAATACATTTAGATTCTGGTATTTATTTCTAAGTTTCATTTCTAGAAACAATTTATAATCACTCATCTTCTGCTGTATAAACAGACAAAAAAAAGTAAACTACAGTCAAATTAATGGATAATTTGCTGTGTACCTATTAAGTACCAGGCCCTGCTGGGACTACACTCATGAGAAATAAAAAATAAGGCAAATACAGGACACTAAGGGGCGCCTGGGTGGTTCAGTCAGTTAAGCGTCTTAACTTAGGTTTGGGTCATGATCCCGGGGTCGGATCCAGTCCCGCATCTGGCTCCCTGCTCATCGGGGAGTCTGCTTGTCCCTCTCCCTCTGCCCCTCCCCCGCCGCTCATGCTCGCTCTCTCTCTCAAATAAATACATAAAATCTTTGAAACAAAACAAAACAAAAAATCAAGAAACTAAGCCCATGAGTAACCAACACACTTATCAGGAGAGGAGGGGCAGCTCTACTGAGCAGCAAAAAAGCTATTCTACAAAGTAATGTCAGAGGAGCTCCTATACTATATTATTGGGATTTAAAAAAGGAAGAAATCCATCTAATCAACAGGGAAAAGCAATTTGAATGTGGCAGTTGTCACAGCCTTTAAAGATGGGCAGGACTTCATCCTTAGCGAAGAAGGGAAAGGAATTCCTGGCAGAAAGAAAGACACAGGCAAAGGCTCAAAGGTGACAAAGGATAAGTCATGTGTTAGGTCATGAGCACCTCATCAACTTTTTGCTTTGGGAACTGCCCTTCCTCATGTGGAGGGGCTGTCAATCACAACTCCACACTTTCAATGTGGGAGGGCGTGTGACCTGGGCTGGCCAATCAGAGAACTCTGCCTCCTGGTTCACAGTGATTGGTACAGGGATGTGACTGGGACTGTGCCCGGTCAAGCAAAAGGCTCCGTGGGACTCTGGCTGAGGAAATGAGGAATGCAATATTCTCTTTTCTCTGACACTGCTCTCAGGAAAGAGGATAAAAGCCCAAAGGTATGGAAGCCACCAAGGAAAATCCCATTGAGAATAAAGTCACTTCAGAGGCAAATAGGGCCAAGAAATGATGAAAGAGTGAGCTTGAGTCCTTAAAGCACTGCGTGAACTCCTGGATAAATCCATGCCTGAAACCATACCCTGTGCTCTGCAGTTATATACACCCATAAAATTCCCTTTACTTGTTTAGACTAATTTTTTTAAGATTTTATTTATTTGACAGAGAGAGAAAGTCTGTGCACACGTGAGAGCACAAGCAGTGGGGAGGGGCAGAGGAAGAAGCAGACTCCCCGCTGAGCAGGGAGCCCGATGCAGGGCTCTATCCCAGGACCCTGGGATCATGACCTGAGCCGAAGGCAGATGCTTAACCAACTGAGTCCCCAGGCACTCTGCTTATTAGACTATTTTAAAATGGATTTCTATCCCTTACAGCTCAGAGAATCTTGACCAACACAGTTCGAGACTAGTGAATAAAGGAATCTGGCTGGTGTTTGAGAGGATAAGGTGAGAGAAATATGCTGTGTAAGTTATAAGGTTGTTAATTATAAACACTGTCAAAAAAAGGACAAATGCAAACAAGTATCATGCCAGCAAAAAAAGCATAAATCCAACAACCAAGGAAACAGGAATTATCCAACAGACCACAAAATAAAATGTGATTGATGTCAAGAAAACATAAACCCAGTGAATTACAGAGGTTCTTATCACCGACACCCACTCCCTCACCCCCACTGCCCACGTGAGGTGGTCCCTCCCTCTTGGAGACGGGACCGACGTCAAACACACACCAGCCACAGGAGGTAGAGAGCAAGGATGACTTGCAGAGGAGCCGACCAGATCATGTTAATGTACGTGGCCAGGTCCATGAACCTCTGGGCGTCCACAGACATGAGGTTGACAATCTCCCCGACGGTGGAGGACTTTCTGGCTGAGTTGGTGATCACCAAGGCCTGCAGGACAATGGCGAGAGAAAGTGTGGCAGTGAGTGTGGCAGGCAAGAGCCCTCCCTCCAGGCCCATGTGGAGGAAGAAGACAGCTCAAGAGCGGAAAGCCCACTCTCTTTTCTCCTGCCTTGCTGCCTTATCTGCATTCCCAGCTCATATGTCCCATCACAAAGCCCCAGCTCTTATCAATGACCCTCACTGTCTCATCCTGACTTCTGCAATATGGAAGAGACCCCAGGGCGCCTAAACCAGGGCTTCACACACTTTAGGGTGCACACACATCACCGGGGAAATCTGTTACAGTGTCATTTCAGATGTGGTAGGACTGGGGTGTGGGGCCTGGGACGATGCATTTTCTAACATGCTCCCACATAATACGGATGCTGCTGGTCCGCAGATCACACTCAAGCAGGAAGGTCAAGGTCAGGGTTTCTCAACCTTGGCATTACTGACATTTGAAGCTGGATACATCTTTGTGGGACTGGCCTGTGCCTTGCAGGGTGCTCCCTAGCATCCCCAGCCTCTACCCATTAGATGCCACCACCTCCAGTTAGGACAACCAAAAACATCCCCTGGAAGGATAAAATTGCCCTGGTTCTCAAACACGGGTTTCACACGATTACCTAGGGAACTTAAGAAATAAAGGTGCCCAGGTCCCACCCTCAGAGATCCTGATTTTGTCCGTCTGCGGTGCAGCCTGGGCAGTGGGAGTTCCCTAGGCGAGTCCAACTTACAGACAGGACTGAGGACCAAGGAACTGGCTCACCTGTCCTCACTATCTGCTAGGCAGTCTCGTCTCAACCCATCAGCTCAAGCAGTGTCTCTTCCCCAGAAGCTAAGAAATTGAAGGGACCCAGAAATTCCCATAGAGCTGGATGTGCACGAATGCCTGCTAAATACTCCCACTATCCAGGGAAAGGACCACCTGCTCAGTTCCAATGGAGAGTTAGAACAAGCTCGGGGTTATCAACAGCAGAGTGACCATGTGAACCCGGATTTTCCCAAGTCGAGTGCCACCTAAGAAACTCAGTTCCGCACGGCTGACACAGGCCTCAAGGAGATGCTTCACGTCGGCTTTGCTAAGATCTCATGCCCGGTGGTCAATCCTTGCCAGCTACGGTCATGTGGGTCACCGTCCCACTACTGCTTCAGAAGCTGGGCTTGAAATCCTCAAGGTGGGCGCCTGGGTGGCTCAGTTGGTTAAGCGACTGCCTTCGGCTCAGGTCATGATCCTGGAGCCCCGGGATCGAGTCCCGCATCGGGCTCCCTGCTCAACGGGGGGGTCTGCTTCTCCCTCTGCCCTCTTCCCTCTCGTGCTCTCTGTCTCTCATTCTCTCTCTCTCAAATAAATAAATAAAATCTTTAAAAAAAAAAAGAAATCCTCAAGGTGGCCCCACAGTGACCTAGCCAAGTCCCCCCAGTTTCTGAGGCGACAGTGTGAGACGTCAACGTGAGCCCCTGGGCATCAGGCCCGGCCCTCACCAGCTTCCGGTTGACCCCACCCGCCTTCCGGTTGACCCCACCCGCCTTCCGGTTGACCCCCCCTACCTTCCGGTAGACGGCGCCGATGACGGCCGTCTTGATCCTCATGCCGCTGACGAAGCAGATGTGGAAGTACTGGTGCAGCACGAGGGTCTGGAGACAGGCGCTGACGAATAGCAGCGCGGTGTAGAAGTAGCCCTGCCAGTCCGGGGCCTTCTGATCGTTCACGAAGTTGATGAGCAATCTGTGAGGGAGCAAGGACAGAAGGACGGGAGCCTGACGCACACGCGCAGGGAACAAGTCCTTCCATTTCCGCATTTCCACTCTCTCCGAGCCAGGCGAGGGGGGTGTTATTCCTTCCATTTTATGCATGGAAAAACAAGCCCACGGGGGTGATAGGACCGTGCAGGGTGCCTGAGCCTTAGGCTTCTCGTACTGACTGCTCTGGCTCATCAGAGAATGAGAGGCAAAGGTAGGAAGGCAAAGACAAGGAGCATGTGGCCCCCAAGAGACAAAAAGAGAGAGGTAAACAGAGGGAGGACGGAGGGGACCTCCTTTGTGACTTTCTGTTTTCAGGCTGCAGTTTGATGCAGTCTGGCTCATTTTCTTGTTCTTGGTTTCCCTAGACATTCCTCTCTCTTCCTTCCTTCGGCTTCAGGGGAAGTTGGTTTCTGTTACCTGCAACCGAAGTGGCCTGAGTTCAGATGGTATCAAAGCAAAACATCAGGCACAGCGCGTGAAGACAGAGAGGCTTGGCTTTAAGCCCATGGCGGGGCACACCGGGTGACCCGAAGTCAGAGGTTAGGAGTACTGCCAGTGGAAGGTCAAGGACACAAAGACTTGCCCAGCTGAGAGGGAAAGGGTCTTACTTTAAGATCTCTGGGCCAGCAAACATCATCAGGTCGTGGAGGGCCTTGAATAGGAAGCTCATGAGGAAGTAGGGCCCGAAGGTCTTGTATAACACCTTGAACAGAGACGGCTCCCGCTCCTTCTGGGGGGACTTGACAATCAAAACCTCAGCCTCCTCATTCACATCCACCTGCGAGCCCCCTTTCTGCTTGGCGGGGTCCTTGGAGGAGTACGCCATCTTTGCCTGCTGCCTGGAACACAAAGAGTGTGGAGTGGTTGTGGGGTCTTCCGGAGACTCGGCCAGCCGGCCCGGGGAGAGGCCCAGAGCACCCCACCCCTCGGGGAGGCCGGCCAAAGAAAACCAGTCACTGCAGAGAGGCAGCTCAGCACACTACTTAGGAGCACAGACTCGGGACCTTGGCCGGCCAGCTGTGTGACTTTCAGGCAGGTTCCCTAACCAGCCCAGGTTCATCACCTGTTGAACGGGGATACAAGTAGGATCCAGCTCACAGGGCTGCTGTGAAGATTAAATGGGTTAATATTCACGAAGGGCATTGAAAGGCTCAAGGCCCACAATGATCTACAGATTCGATGCACTCTCTTCTCAGAATCCCAGCTGACTTTTTTATAGAAAATGACAAGCTGATTCTAAAATTCATACAGAAACTCAAGGGACCCAGGACAGCAAAAACAATCTTTAAAAAGAAAATCAAGGGGCACCTGGGTGGCTCAGTTGGTTAAGCGACTGCCTTTGGCTCAGGTCATGATCCTGGAGTCCCTGGATCGAGTCCCGCATCGGGCTCCCTGCTCGGCAGGGAGCCTGCTTCTCCCTCTGACCCTCCCCCCATCTCATGAGCTCTCTCTCTCATTCTGTCTCAAATAAATAAATAAAATCTTTAAAAAATAAATAAATAACTAAAAAGAAAATCAAAGTTAGAGAATGTACACTTTCTGACAACCATAATCAAGATAGGCATAAGGAAAGGTAAGTGCGCACGTGCACACACACACACACACAATCAATGGAACCAGAAATAAACCTGATTGATTTCTGACAAGGGTGTCAAGACCGTTCAATGGGAAAATAATCTTTCTGGGGCACCTGGGTGGCTCAGTTGGTTAAGCATCTGCCTTCACTTCAGGTCATGACCCCAGGATCCTGGGATCGAGTCCCACCTCGGACTCCTTGCTCAGCAGGAGCTTCTCCCTATCCCTCTGCCCCTCCCCCCTATTCATGCGCTCTAATAAAATCTTTTAAAAAATTAAAAAAAAAAAAGAACAATCTTTTCAACAAATGGTGCTGAGAAACCAGACAATGAAGTTGGACCCTATTTCATTCCATATACAAAAATTAACTCAAAATGGGTCAAAGACCTAAACACAGAATTACAACTACAAAATTCTTAGAAGGAAACAAGTGAGGGGCACCTGGGTGGCTCAGTCGGTTAAGCATTCAACTCTTGATGTCGGCTCAGTTCATGATCTCGGGGTTGTGAGATTGAGCCCCACGTCAGGCTCCATGCTCAGCAGGGAGTTTGCGTGAGATTCTCTCTTTCCCTCTACCCCTCCCCCAGCTTGCACACATGCATGCGTACTCTCGCTCTCTCCCAAATAAACAAGTAAATAAATAAGGAAAGGTGAAAAATCTTCATGACCTTGCATCTGACAAAAGATTCTGAAATATGTCACCAAAAGTACAAGCAATAGAAGAAAAAATAAGATCACCTGGACTTTGTCAAAATAAAAAAATGTGTTTCAAAAGACAAAATCAGGAAGTGAAAAGACAACCCACAGAATGAGAGAAAATATTTGCAAATGAAATATCTGATAAGGGACTTGTAACCAGAGCATGTCAAAAACTCTTACCACACAATAAGGAAAAAAAAAAGACCAATTTAAAAAGGGGCAAAGAAGATAGGCAAATGGCCATGAAATGTTGCTTGACATCATTCGTCATCAGGGAAACACAAACCAAAACCACAGTAAGGTATTATTTCACACCCACAAGGTGTTATCATCAAAAAGCAGATAATAACAAGTGTCTGCAAGGATGTGAGAAACTGGAGCCCTCACACTGGCCCCTACGCAGTCCTCTCCCACTCGGACGAGGATATAGCAGAAACAATGGAGTGCGTGCCACTTCTAAGATTAGGTTATAGAAAACACAGTGGCTCTGTCTTGCCCTCTCTTGGGTCATTCCCTCTAGACAAAGCCAACAGCCATGTGAGGATGATACCAGAGGAGCCCCCATGATGAGATGTTGCCAGGAGCCAACCCTGACTTACTAGCCATGTGCAACCTGAAAGCAGGGCTTACAGCCCCAGTCGAGCCTTTAGATGATGCGGCCCCAGCTGACATGCTGAGTGCAACTTTAGGAGGTGCTGAGCCAGAACCACCCTGCTAGGCTGGATCCCTGACCCAGAGAAACTATGTGAGAGAGTAAATGTTCACTGTCATTTTCAGCTGCTAGGTTTCAGGTAATGGATTATACAACGGACATACCTCCTAGCTCTTGTCTCCCAAATTAAAGTCAACATCTTCAAATGGCCGGACGTGGGCTCCACCACCAAAACACATGCTTCATCCTCACCTAACCAAACATTAGCAATTTACAGGATCCTTCCATGGCGTAAGTATATTGAACAGCATTCAATTTCAGAAGGCTCTCCCTTGTCACGTCGACGCCACACACTTGATTATTTAAACCACCTGACACTTTCTCTTGCCAACCACAGCCTTCCAATCTGCCTCAGCTCACTCCCCAGCCTAGAAAAGGACCAGAAATATGGGAATCTCCTCCAGGCTCCGGGGTTGATCAGGTGTGTGTCCCATCCGTCCCAACCCAGGACATGTGTGGGCGTCCATCCATTCTGTCCATGTCCACAGCCTGTGACCCATGCAAATGACCACCACCAGGGCCTCCTCCCTGCTCCCTCATTTCCTCCCACTCTTGTTCCCTGACAGCCAAGCTCCTGCACAGCAGCCCGTGGGACCTTCCTAAAAACACACCATCCCCCTACTTCAACTCATGGCTTCCCGCTGCATCCAGAAAAAAACCTAAACTCTGTGTGAAGTTGTATAACTTCCTATGTGTGCTGTAACAAATTACCACAAACAGTGGCTTAAAGCAACACAAATTTATTGTCTCAAAGTTTTGGGGGTCAGAAATCTGAAGGGGGCCCACAGGGTTACATTCCTTCTAATCTGTTTCCTGGTCTTTTCCAACTTCTAGAAGCCTCCTACATTCCCAGGCTTATGGCCCCTTCCCTCCAATTAAAAGCCAGTTGCAGCTGCAGAGCACTCCCCGCCCCCCTGACCTCCTGTCTCCTTTTACAAGGACCCAGTGATCATATCAGGCCCTTTGCCTTTGCGATATAAGGTTGTAGGAACCAAGACATGGACATCTTTGTGTGTGCATTATTCCACCAACCACATTGCCAATGTCACCGTGCACGATCTTCCCTACTCCCTTTAATGACCTGCCCTAAAGCTGCCCTTTTCTGACTGGGATTTTTAGTATAATTCCTTTTAGCACACACAGACCTCCTTGGCAAGGAAGAAAGAGGGCCAGGCGAAGAGGAAGGGAGTAGCTCAGCCTGCCCCGTCCATTCTCTGTACCACTTCCTAAGCCAGACCTGGCCCTGGGCCTGCGTGGGCTGCTGGTAACCCAGGGCTGTTTCCAGTGGCCAAGAGACAGGTGCCAAAGGGTCAGGGAGAACGTCTCGGGCAAGCAGAGAGGAGGAAAGCTCAGGCCTGGGTGGACAAGGTCAAGGTCAAGAACGTTGAGAAGGATCAGCTAAGGCCAAGTCAAGAAAGAAAACTATCCCATGAACAAGAGGCCTACAAAGGAGGGAAGTGCTCCAGGAGGGGAGAGGAAGCAAGCCGGGCATCTGTAAGCTCTGGCTGGGAGGGGAAAGGAAAGTTGGAGGGAAAAAGTCTGAGTCAGGGGAAAACTGTCCAGAGCAAGGGAACAGAAAAGGGTAGGTAAGCTGAAGGCTGGGGAGAAAGAAGCCTTTCTGAGTAGATCAGATTCCAATGTGTGCAAAGATGCCCATCAGTCACTTGTCCACCAATGAACTAAACACATGTTCTGGGTCAAACTCTGGACAGAGCCCTACCATCACAGAGCCTCATGGGAGGAAAGGATTAGCAAACATGACTTCACCAGACTCTTACTGGTGCTATCATGAGGGCTTTCCCAGAGGAGGTGACATCAAAGCAGTGCCCTGCAGGATGAGAGAATCAGGAGAAGGAAAGGGTGCTCCAGGTAGGGGGAACAGGATGAACAAGACCTGGAGCTAAGGATTGGAAATGAGGTTTGGCAGCCCTTTCTCGAACAGGCGAGAACCTCAGGGTAACCTGAACAGGACTGGGAGCAGACTGCAGGAGGCTTGAACCTATGAAAGAGCAGCAAGGCGCTACTGAGGACTCTCTCATTTGTCATGAAGGCTTTAGGAAAGGCCAAATCTCAAACTTAAAGAAGTCTTAGCACAACTGAAATTTCTACATTTCTGAATGTCGTCTGAGCATCATGGTCTTTGACCCATAATAAATATCCAATATAATAAGGAAGGGCAGACTTGACCTACAATCGCAGAAAATGGATTTTACAAACTTGGTGCATATTTTCACTCTGCTTAGCGCTAAGGATATACAGAATGATAGTTTCTGGAACCACAGAGGGAGTGGCAAGGGTCCCCCTCCCACCCCACCCTAGCCCTTGGGTAGCCCTGGCAGGATTTTAAACGTGTTGCTTATGAATGCAAATGACTCAAGCTTTCCCCCACTACCCTACCCTTTTCTCAAGTTTTTTTCAGTGCTTTCTGTTCCTCAAAAACAGAGCTTCTCAAAGGGGGTTGTTTTTGTTTTTTTTTTTAAAGATTTTATTTATTTATTTGAGAGAGAGAGAATGAGAGACAGAGAGCATGAGAGGGAGGAGGGTCAGAGGGAGAAGCAGACTCCCTGCGGAGCAGGGAGCCCGATGTGGGACTCGATCCCGGGATTCCAGGATCATGACCTGAGCCGAAGGCAGTCGCTTAACCGACTGAGCCACTCAGGCGCCCAGGGGGTTGTTTTGTAAATGCCACATTCTCGGATTGTCAAGACTGAGCCAGATACTAGACCTTCTGTGACCTACAGAACTTCGGTCCCCCAAAAAAGAGCTCAACAAGAATCCGTGTAGGCTGAAAAACCTGCCTGAAATTACTCAGGTCTGGAATCTAACTCTGTTTTCAGACATAAATCCATAGTGTGTATTTTGTTGTTCTTGCAAGCTTCAATACATCTTGAATTTTTTTCAGGAATGCAACTATTATTGAAATGAAGGGGTGACTGCATTTCGTTCAGAACTTTGCTAAGCGTTGGCCACAACTATGCAAAACCTCTTCTGTGAGGGCGACTGACCATGGTTCTGGAGATCTGGAGGGATTTGCAGCTGTCACGGGGAACCCTCCACTTTGGGACAAGCAGCGACTCTCCATTCTGTTCTCCCAGCGCGTGCCTGAGAATTTACTCACCGAAATACACGTTGTCTCATTACAAATCCCTTGTTTCCGTTTTCCCTTGAAGTCTAGTGAGAGCATTTTGTTAATTTTTAAAATTTTAGCTATATGGGTGGGCTATTTTTATTGATACATTATCTGAAAGTAACTGTATTGATGTCAGAAAATCTTTGTATTCAAGGCAACAGTGAGTCTGCAAGGTTCAGAACCACCGTTCAGCACGTGCATGCTGGCGCTTTGTGTTGTTTATTTTCTGTCTGCATTTCTTTACAAAAGAGAGACAAGTAAGCAAAAATGGCCACTCTGGGGGCGCCTGGGTAGCTCAGTCGGTTAAGCATCTGCCTTTGGCTCAGGTCATGAACCCAGAGTCCTGGGATGAAGCCCCCCATTGGGCTCCCTGCTCAGTGGGGAGCCTGCTTCTCCCTCTCCCCCTGCAGCTCCCCCTGCTTGTTCTGTCAAATGAATAAAATCTTTAAAAAAAAAAAAGTCACCCCTTCTTTAAGCACGTTTTCTGACACACACACACACACACAGAGCCTTATTGAGGTATAACTGATGTATGCTCAATTGCACATATAGGGAATGTACAAATTGATGAGTTTTGACCTATATGGATACACACACCTGTAAAACTGCCCACAAAATCAAGATGGTAAACCTATCCACCCTCCCTCCCCCCCTCCCACAAGGCCCACCCAGGCCCCTCGGTAACATGAAATCTGCTGAATGAATCAGTTAAGGGCCAGGCCAGGGATAGACAGGGCTTCTTGTTCTCCCTCCCACCTGCAGGCTGTTCCCTAGCTAAGTGAAGAGGCCTGGCCACAAGGGGTCACACCAACAGATCCCAGCTGAAAACAGGACTTTCCCTTTGCCCACCATGTCCACAGGAGTTACAGGTGCCAGATCTGGTTTGTGACTCTGGAGACAGAGCGAAGGACCCATCTGCCAGTGACCCAAGGCAGTGAACCCCCAAGCTGAGAACCCCCTAAAGGCAGAGGTATTGAGAGAGCCAGTGCCCCTAGGGGTGGCCCATGTTGGAGCCTGAGGAGCTAGGGCTCACCCCGTCCTCCCAGGCAAGATGGGAACGCCCAGCCTGGTTCCGCATCCAGATGAATCAACACAACTTGTATGGTATTACCTGCCCAGGGTTTACCCAGGACCATGACAGGGCTTCTCAGATGATGTTTATCTCAGTGAATTGTCAGAAAACCCTCTGAGCAGAAAACAGAGGCTCTGGGGCATTAAGGGACCCGAGGGACAGCCCCTAAGGCCCCCACCCTGGTCTCCCTGCCCCCCCCTCACTTTCCCCAGGGCAGCCCCGCTGGTTATAAAACAAAACTCAGGACATGCCACTGGCCTGCATAAAACCCACCTCTGACTTCTCACTGCACTTAGGATCAAACCTGAATTCACTAGCATGGCCGATGAGACCCCTGCAAATGCTTCTCCTACCTTACCTCCTTCCATTCTGCCCCTCACACACTCCACTCGGGCCACGCTGCCCACCCCCCACCCCCGCCTTCTCCATAAGCACGCTGGACTCACCTCTACCTCAGGATCTTTGCATGAGCTGTCCCCTCTAACCATAAAGCCCTTCCTACACATGCGGCTCACTACCTCCTTCAATACGAACTTTTGCTCCAGTGTCACCTTCTGAGAGGCCATCCCCAACCACAGCTTCTCTATCAGCTTCCTCAGCCACTCCTGTCCCACCTCCCTGCTATAATCTCCTAAAACCTAACACTTTCCAAAACTTTCCCCCTCAGCGTAGGTTCGACTGCTGTCCTGTCTGTCTCCTATATGGAATGTAAGGTGGCCCCCGACAAGGAGCCTATTTGGTGCCAGTTTCTGAACACAGAGGGCCTGAACAGACCACACAGTAGCAGGAGACATGAAATCTGCTGAATGAATCAGTTAAGGGCCAGGCCAGGGACAGACAGGGCTTCTTGTTCAAGCCTGGTCCTCCTTCCCTGGAGCCTCCGGGGCAACCTCTCCCACACCATCTGCAGCAACCTGCTCATCAAGAAGGATGCCACCGGCCAGGCTGGGAATAGAACCAGGGAGCCGCCTCTGCCTGAGAACCTCCAACTAGGTCATGGGGACAAGATTCAGGTGGAGCTCTATGTGCACAGAACACCACCCATCTCACGATGCCCGCCTACAGAGCCTTACACTCAACCTGCCTCCCCTAAGACAACGTCTCCTGTGTCTGTGGCCACCACGAATGGGCCACCAACTCAGCATCACAAGGGCCTCTGCTGGTGTTCTAGTAGCCAACAGTACGAATGTCCCCAGTTCCCACCCCCCAAGCCACGCCTGATCGAAGATCTATAACCTGGGTGTTCTGGCAACTGGACCTCAAGTCCAAGGTTTTTCTCCTGGAAGGACAACTGCTCTGTGGGAGATCCAACACACCAGGCTGGCCCCACTGGCAGCCAGTGCTAAGAGGTCAACAACAGGCCCACCCCATAAAACCACAGGAGTAATGACAGCCACTTTTGGTTCTGCTCCTACTACCACCCTCTACTGTCCCCACGTCACTCACAAGTTCTCAACTGCCTCCTCTGGACACAGGACACACGCCAAGTCCAATGACCTACCCTCCTGTAACAGCCACTTTACTTTCTTACCAGCACGTAATACAACGCTGTTTCATGTAACTGAGGACGTCTTAGATTTGATGAAATCAAGTATGTGCTGCGGAGGCCCCGGCCTAATTCCCAAAACAACCTGATGACAGACGTCACGTGATGGCACGCAGCTAACAATGGGAGGAGTGTCTACAACACAGGATACCAGGGCGCCTGGGTGGCTGTCGGTGAAGAGTCTGCCTTCAGCTCAGGTCATGATCCCAGTGTCTTGGGACCGAGCCCCGCATCGGGCTCCCTGCTCCGCGGGGAGCCTGCTTCTCCCTCTGCCTGCGGCTCCCCCTGCTTGTGCACATACTCTAATAAATAAATAAATAAATAAAACATCTTAAAAAAAGATACATAAATAAAATTCAGGACACCAAATGTGAGCCATAATGCAAACTATGGGCTCGGGGGTGATCATAATGCATCAGCGTAGGTTCATCACTTCTGACAAACGTCCCTTTCTGCTGGGGGACACTGATAATGAAGGAGGCGATGCACGTGTGGAGGAAGGGGGTACACAGAACTCTCTGTACTTTCTGCCTAAAAACCAGAGTCTATTTTATTTTTAAATCCAGCACAGTCAAAACACCCTTGGTGGGGGATTCTTTGGCAGAACACTTGCTGAAGTGATGGGCTTGGTATGTTGAAGCCAAAACACTGAGAAGAGCAAGAACTCAGGATGCTAGACACTTTCCGTGAGACAGGCAAGGTGGCGCTGTCTCGGGCAGGGCGAGGTCGCGCGCCCCAGGCACGCACTTGCCAAGGGCCCAAGCAAACGGCATCAATAGCCTCTCGCTGCACATCTTTTGCTCTTCTTGTCTATCCACTGCCTTAGCTACATGGAAGACTCTTCCTGGGTCTCGCAGATGAGCCAACCGTGGCTGGGAAGAGCGAAGCAGCTCGCCCAGGACCATGAAGCTAATAAGAGGTGACGCTGCCACATTTCCTGGTGGCAGGAAAGGGTGACCGCGTGGTCCTAGAGAGCGCCCGGCTCTCCCCTGTGGCAAGAGGCTCACACTTACCTTTTGGATTTGGCACACTCCTTCTTCCAGTTCTTTACCAAAACGGGCACAACTTGTTCTGATGTGTCCTCCTTATTCAGGGACCAGAGGTCAGTGCTCTCCAGGGGCTGGCGGTAGCCCCGGACCATCAGCCTGGGGCCAAAAGAGCAGGGGGAGGCGATGAGAGTCGGGAGGAAGAGGACGACAACCCTCGCTGCCCACACCCACCACCACGATGGCAGCACGCACTTGGGAAAATCGCAATACGCATGGGACATTTGGGCACATTACGTCATCACTAATTCTGTTACATCACCCAGGAAGCACAGCTTCATTTTTTAAAGACACAGAATATTCAGGATACAGCTTTTACAATGGCTCCCATTTACTTTAAAAAAAAAAAAAAAACAAAACTGTTTTTAAGACTCAGGGGCAAAGCATTAATCATTGTCAAATCTGAGTGATAAGTTCATTAAGCTTGATCAGACTAGTCTTTCTACGTGTTTGGACACTTTCGTAATAGAGAGTAAACCTATCATTTTAACTTGTTGTTTTGAAATAATACCAAACGTACAGAAAAATCACATGCATTGCACAAAGAATTCCTACCTCCCCCAGCTCACCGCTGCTAACATTTTGCCACATCTGCTGTACTATTCTCTGTCTCTAACTATCAACATACACACATAGACTTTTTTTCTGAACCGCTTCAGAGCAGGCTGTAGACTTGACACACCTGCACCCCTCAATGTTAGTGTGAATCCCCCTAAAAAAGGGGCATGCTTTCACAGAAGCCAGAGAGCGATTCATCAAAATCAGAAATAGGAGCAAGGATGACATGACCTGCGGACCACACTCAAACTACCCCAACCGTCCCAGAGATATTCCTTAACTGTTAATTTGAACAATATTTAATTAAAAAAAAAAAAAAAGATGTCTGCGCAAAGTTTATAAAGACAAGGAACTGTGTTTATGGGGGGGAAAAGGATTTATATAATCCTGGGTAAGATGCTGACCATGTGCAGAAAGAAATGTGCAGGCAAAACGGACAAGAAGCGAGCTTAAAGTGAGTGTTGCCTCAGGTGTTTTTGATTGTGGATCTATGCATGTTTCTCTTACCCACATTTCTTATGGGTCACGGGTATTATTTTTCTAATGGCAATTTCATTTCTCTGAAACAATGCCAACAACCGTAATTACACCTGATGTCAAAAACAAACAAACAAACAAAAAACCCAAATCCAAAAACCAAGAGCGCACGGTTTCTAAGTGCCCCGGGTGAAGCCGTGCACAGGGTCGGTGTCTGAGCCCCGGGCCCAGGGCAGCCACGCTCAGCACACGGGTGAGGGGTGACAGAGGGACAGCGGGCCCGAGGCACCGGCCTGGCCTTACCCTGTGATCCACCAGAAGGTGACTCTGGAAAGGAAGGAGGCACTGGATTCCGGGCAGGGATTCTGGTGGAGAGAACACAGAGGGTGGGAGCAAACAGGAAATGATTGATTAAACTTCTCATCTAGGCCGGCGCTCGGCAACAAGCAGCTGAGCAGAGCGGTCTTACCCTCCAAAGGACCAGCAGCCACCGCACGCCGATGACTCACCCCAGAAGGGTTTCTCTCCTGATCCCCAAGAACCTCCCAAGAAACAAATGGCAGCTCCCCAGTTTCATCCAGGAAATATTTCCTGTCTACTATGTGCGAAAGTGGTATAGCGTGCCACTTACCCACCCTGCATTATATTCATTCCCACAGCAACCCGGGGAGTGTGGTGCAGCCCATATCCCCCCATGTTACCCCCTTCATTCACTGATTGCATTCATTCAACACATACTGTCTGAGCACCAACTATGTGCCAGGCACTCTACAAAATGCTAGCATTATCCTGTATCCTCACAGAACCTTACGAGGGTGGTAATTACTATTATTTCTGTTTCACTCATTCATTCAACAAATATTTTCTGAGCACCTGCTACGTGCCCAGCACCATGTATATAAATCTGAGCAAACACAATCCCCACCTTCAGGAAGGCGGAAGTGTCCTGGAGTAATAGTAACACCTGCTAACTTCTCTACTAGCTAGCTCTGTTGTAAGTGCTTTACACAAATCATCTCGTTTAATGAGACCACCCAAGAAGTAGTTAAAAGCATCATCCTCACTTTGGAGCTAAAGAAACAGACGAGCAGAGGGACCAGAATGACCTTGCCAGGCTCTCCCAGCTAGAAGCAGTGGACACAGACTGGGAGCCCCTAACAGGGTTCAGAAAGAGACATTAATCAAATGGTCCTGTGAGCAAACACAAAACCACAACTGCGATGAGGATCGTCCCCTGAAGTTAGGTCAGTATACCAGTGAGGTCACGGTATCTTAGCGGATGGAGTCTGATCCAGCTGACAAAGGTCAGAGAAGGAGTGCCTGAGCTGGGGTCTGAAAACTGACTAAAGGATAACAAGGAAAGGGGAGGAGCAAGGCAGTCTCAGCAGCGAGAGCATGCATGCAAAGGTCCTGTGGCAGAAGGGAGAATAACCTACACTGGGAACCAAGAAGGGGCTGAGCAGTCCTCACTGGAGGCCATATAAGGGATTCTGGTCTTCATCCCAAGGGCAAAGGGAAATCATCAACATATTCCAAGCAAGCTCTCAAAGAACCTCTTTCCCAGAGGCACAGAGAGGAGCTCCAACACACACACACACACACACACACACACACACACACACACACCCTTCCCCCCAGGAAAGGGATGTCAACACAGAGCCTCTGAGACCACACACAAGGGCTGACTTTCCACGCTGATACATTCAGGTCTATATTCTGAAATGCACTTTAAGTGAAGGGGTGGGGGTCACCACGCAGTGTCGAAGTCTCTAACAGAGGAGGCTGCTCCGCGTTCCAGCATTTTTCAGAGACGGCCTTGGAGAGCCCAACAAGCAAACACGTTCTACCACAGTGGTTTTCCATCCAGGCTGCAGGTGCTTTAAAAACAACACCGTACCTGGTCCCCACCTCCCAGAGATTCCAATCAAACTAGTATGGCGTGGGACCAACGCATCAAGTTTTTGTGTTTGTTTTTTACTCCCAGAGTCTCCTTGGCCAAGTGGCTTGGCAGGAAATGTCCCAGATAAGCCCCGAATGTCTTGTCACACCTGTTACCACGGAAGCTAAAGACACAAAGCCTCAGAAGCAACCAGAAGTGGCTCCCAAGTTGCCCAAAAAGGGACGATGTGAGCCGCAGTCAGGATAGTAAGTAGAAGGGACTGTGACGATCACATATGTTTAAAGACACCATCTCACAAGGACACTGAAAAAAAAAAAAAAGGGCAACCCCTCGGTGTCGTTCATGAAAAGACACATGTGAACCAAGCCACTATCTGAGAAAACAGAGCAAGGGCAGGAGACAAGGATGTCCCCACCTTTTCTTTTTTCTTTTTTTTTTTTAAAGATTTTTATTTATTCATTCATGAGAGACAGAGACAGAGAGAGAGAGGCAGAGGGAGAAGCAGGCTCCCAAGGAGCAGAGAGCCCGATGCGGGACTCGATCCCAGGACCCTGGGATCATGACCTGAGCCGAAGGCAGACGCTTAACCATCTGAGCCACCCAGGCGCCCCCCCCCCACCTTTTCTAAATGAACTTCACCACAGGGTGACCAAAGAGATGAGGGGAAGTGTCTTTGCATAGAAATAGTCCAACCAGGGCGCCTGGGTGGCTCAGTGGGTTAAGCGTCCAACTCTTGATTTCGGCTCAGGTCATGATCTCAGGGTTGTGAGATCGAGCCCCACATAGGGCTCTGCGCTGGGTGTGGAGCCTGAGATTCTCTCTCTCTCCCCCTCTACCCCTCGGCCCCTCCCCCACTAAAAAAATAGTCCAGCTAATAAACAAAGAATGAATGACAGAACATTGAGACAATGCGCCATTTTGCAACCACAGTGGATTATTGGAACACTTGGGAGGTACCCAAGGATTATTATGAATGGTTTTAGGCCAGAGGCTGGTATCACTGCTGTACTGTTTAAAATCCTTATCTTTCAGATATTCTCACTGGGGAGAGTTGGGTGAAGGGCAGACAGGAATTCTACTATTTCTTTTCTTTTTTTTTTTTTAAAGATTTTATTTATTTATTTGACAGAGAGAGACACAGCGAGAGAGGGAACACAAGCAGGGGGAGTGGGAGAGGGAGAAGCAGGCTTCCCGCCGAGCAGGGAGCCCGATGCGGGGCTTGATCCCAGGACCCCGGGATTACGACCCGAGCCGAAGGCAGACGCTTAACGGCGGAGCCACCCAGGCGCCCCTGCAACTTGCTTTTTAAATTTAACTGTATTTCAGGGTGCTTAGCTGGCTCAGTAGAGCACGTGACTCTTGATCTCAGGGCTGTAAGTTCGAGCCCCATGTTGGGTATAGAGATTACTTAAAAATAAATTTTTTTTTTAAAGATTTTATTTATTTATTTGACAGAGAGACACAGCGAGAGAGGGAACACAAGCAGGGGGAGCGGGAGAGGGAGAAGCAGGCAGGGAACACAAGCAGGGGGAGCGGGAGAAGGAGAAGCAGGCTTCCCGCGGAGCAGGGAGCCCGATGCGGGGCTCGATCCCAGGACCCTGGGATCATGACCTGAGCCGAAGGCAGACGCTTAACCGACTGAGCCACCCAGGCGCCCAGGAATTCTACTATTTCTGCAACCTTTGGTAAGTCAAGTTGTTTCAAAATAAAAAGTTACTAAATATGTTTAAATCCCTATCTTTCAGAGATATGTACTGAAGTGTTTACACAGTGGGGGGCAGGGTAAAGTAAGAGTCTATTATACGCCGCTACTTCTGTACACATGGGGAAGCTTCCACCATAAAAAGCTCAACGAAAAGCTTCCCCAGTGACGCAAACATGCATCCTGGGCCCAGAACCACTGGGCTCCACTCTGGGGCCACAGGGGGGTGTCAGGAGGTTCCCAGCCCTGGCTGCACCAGAGTCCAACCTGGGGAACTCGTTGAACACGGGTGGGCCAGGGTCCCACCCCAGACCAGCTTAAATCAGTGCCTCTAGGCTGGGGCCCTTGGCCTCAGGAGATTTTTAATAAGGAAATCAGACGCTGTTTGCCTCAAAGACCTGTGTTCCAGACCAACCTGAAGCAGGTAAGTTCAGACTTTGAAGCCAGGGTTCAAATCCCAGGGATGCCATTTTCTCACTGAATGACCTGGGCAAGTCCCTCCACCTCAAAGCCTTGGTTTTCGAATCTGGGAGATGGGAGCGGTGTGTCAGGCTGCTCAGCCTACCTCACACAACTATGAGGAAGGACAAATGAAATGAGTCCACGGGACTGTGTTGTAAGCTGGAACTTTCCCAACCCAGGGTGGCAACATTATTCGAGGGGGAGGCGGGGGCATTTGCTCTGGAGGCTGGTGGTGGGTGGGTTATCAGGTCAATCTCAAATGCACCTCAACTATAGCCCAATTCCACCCCAGTGTGAAAAGGTGGGGTCCCAGTGGGGAAGGGGAAGTGGAAGGGGATGGGGCACAGCTGAAATGACTCATTTATTTCTTGAGCAAATATTTACGGAGGGCCTGCTTAGGTGCCAGGAGGTAGCTAAGGGCTGGGGACAGAGCTATGCATGAGACAAGAAGGCGAGGTCCCCACCTGATACCACTTCCCACCGGGGAAGGGGGAGATGGACAATTAGCAGACCGATGTGAATAAACATATAAGTATCAATGGAAGAGTCACAACAAAGAAGAAAAATGAAGGTGCCAGAGAAGGCTGGGGGCCGGGGGCCTGCTTATGCGTGAGGCAGCAAACAGCAAGGAGATGAGAGGGAGGCTATGAATCCCAGTCCTGCCACTTACCAGCTGTGGGACCTTGGCCAAGTTACCTGGTGCGGAGATTAAATGAGATGAAGCATGTTATAAGATTCCTTAGAATAATACCTGGCACAGAGTGAAAGCTGGAAGAAACGGTATTAATGGTATTAATACCAAAATCCGAAACAGAATAATAACGTCTTCCATTTCTCACAACCCCACGACACACCGAGCACCGTCCCAGGTGCTTTACACAAGGGTTGGCAAAGAAAGGCCCACAGGCTGGCGGCTTGTCAATAAGGTGCGACTGGGGGCGCCTGGGTGGCTCAGTTGGTTAAGTGACTGCCTTCGGCTCAGGTCATGATCCTGGAGTCCCAGGATCGAGTCCCGCATCGGGCTCCCTGCTCAGCGGGGGGTCTGCTTCTCCCTCTGACCCTCTTCCCTCTCGTGCTCTCTGTCTCTCATTCTCTCTCTTTCAAATAAATAAATAAAATCTTTAGAAAAAAAAAAGAATAAGGTGTGACTGGCACACAGTGATGCCCGCTCATTTACATACCGTCTACTTTTACATACTGTCTGCTTTTGAGCCACGATGGCTGAGGTGAGTAGTTGCAACACAAGCTACGGGGTCCCCAAAGCCGGAAACATTTACTGTCTGGCTCTTTACAGAGAAAGC